TTCTGGCATATCGTACATATCTGGGACAACCCTAGGATACTCAAATAACTTTAAAATAAATCATTAATATTAAGCAAAATTAATTTATAAAAAATTCCAAAATTTAAATTGAAGAAACAAAAAGTTAAAAATGGATACAAACATCATAGCTACTTAAATAGCTTCAATTATGAAATAAAAAAATTTTTCAAAACTTATTTAAAGGCAAAAAATTGCGTGCCAACCATGCAATTAAAAAAGATTTCTGCTCGCTTAATTTTTTTTTATTTTTAGACTTTAAAATTAAAAAAAGCTAATTTAAGGCTGATAATTATATATTTACGTAGATTCCTGTTGTCTATTTAAAAAAGGAAAAAAATATTTTTGACGGATATCCATTAATGGATCTTTAAATTAAAGAAGTTTTATTTCCAGCCTTATTTTTATCAGAATATTAAAACAGAAACAGAACAAATAAAAGATAAGAGACAAAATACTGTTTGGATAAGACCATTCCGATTTCCGACAGTTTCGATTTCCGGAACCTTCCTCATTTCCGTTCGACATCTGGATAAGACCGGGATTTTGAAGAAAAAGAATAGTTAATGCTGGCAGGATCCTTAGCAAGAATGTCCGAAATTGCAAAAATTTCTGCAGCCGAAAGTTTTTAAAATATGTAGTAAGCAAACGCAATCCTCAAGTCAAAATAACGAAATTTGCTGACAAAATCCGCAAACGGAATACTCAATCAATTGTGAAAAGCTTACATCCCTAGTACATCTCTCGAGTTCTCTATGAAAGTCTTAAAATGATAGACTTGAAGGGGTTAGAGGTAAAAATGTGTCGCAATGCCGTCGTTCTTCGAACTTAAAGGTCTTTTTGAACTGGATTACCGTATTTCCTATATTAGAGCCCCACCCTTTGTTAGAGCCCCACCCTCTAATACAGCCCCACTTTGGAGGATAGTTGAAAAATAGAGCCCCACCCTCAATTAGAGCCCCACCCCTAATACAGCCCCACATAAAAATATTGGAGGAAAAATAAGTTTTTTTTAATTTTTAATTTCCTTCCCTTCAGTGAATTAAGAGTGAAGTGAACAAAGGGGGTATCGATGTTTAAAAGAAAGAATCTCATTTATACAAAAATTTAAAAAATTTTTTAATTATAATCTAACACTAGAACAAATTTGTTGACATTCTTGCATATTTAAAAAATTATTTAAATTTCCTCCACATCCAGAATATTCAAAAGAAATGCATTGACCCTTTAAATTAAATTTTAAAAATTTTCTTTCAATGTATTTTTAAACCTTTTCTCTACTGAAGGCATATCTGGTCTGTCTGCTACTACACGAACCTTTGTCTATTGATAGAAGGCAAAGTGCAGCTTTAAAAAAATTTAAAAGTACTTAATATGTATTTTATTATTAGTAATTAGATATTTGTCAGCCATAATTTATTGCTATGCTATCAAACGAGGTGCCCTAATAACAGGAATGTATTAAGAGTAACTCAACAAATAATAAGATTTTTCAAGAGTGTTAATGATAGGTATCCCGCCAAATTCCGCGATATTCCTTTTAATCCCGAGACATAACACTTTCAATTTGTCGGATTAATATGTATGTGTCTTTAGAGTATACAAAGTGGATGTTTTTATAAAAATTCGTTAACCCTGATACGTGAGATTACAGTAGAATTTTGGAAGTAAAATGTTGCTTAGACTAGTAACAGAATTCTCAAGTATATTCTTACCAGGGCAAATATTCTGGCACTCTTCAGATGTCAAAAAATTGTTTTGATTGCCTCTTTTCCCATTGTATTGGAACGAGATACATTGACGTTCATCGGCATTATAATACCTTAATTATTTTATTTTAAGATAGATGGCGATATAGAATAGAGGTAATTGGGTGTCCGGAAAATTGGGCTCTGGAAAATTGGGCTCCAAGATTTTTCGGAAATTTGGGCTCCAACTTTTCGGAAAATTGGGCTCCGGCGGTAATTTGGGCTCTGCGTGAAGAAATCGGAATATTGGGCTCTAAAATTTTGGGCTCCGGAGGAATTTTGGGCTCTGAGAAAAAAGTCAAATTATGCAAAAATTAGAGATGAGTCTTCGAAATCGGGAGATTTTGCGTGTACGCCCAACTGTTATTCGAAGGAATAGGATTTCTTTATCAAATTCTACTGAATCGGACCAACCAATTTGAACCAATTTGAGTATACTGTAAAGGAATAGGGCCAAGTACTCACCCAGACCAACTGGCCGTAGGTTCCGAACCCAGAACTCGACTTCGCTCCGTAGGTTTGCATAATTTGACTTTTTTCCTCAGAGCCCAAAATTCCTCCGGAGCCCAAAATTTTAGAGCCCAATATTCCGATTTTTTTACGCAGAGCCCGAATTACCGCTGGAGCCCAATTTTCCGAAAAGTTGGAGCCCAAATTTCCGAAAAATCTTGGAGCCCAATTTTCCAGAGCCCAATTTTCCGGCACCCGGTAATTGCACGTATTTACTCATGACAGAAAAATCTGAGCAAATGTCATAAAGTAACACGGATAAATACAGAAATTAGGAGGTTTACATGAACCCCCCTTCAAAAATATAACAAACTATCATTGCGCCGATACAGTGGTACTTAATGATCTAAAACTTATTAAATTGTAAAAACAATAAATTTCATATCTTGTAAAAAAATTTTGCCAGTAATATTAAACTTTTTTACTCTACCTTCTAGTAGAGTAGAAGGCTCTATTTTTGTTTGACTACCGTATTTACTCGATTAATTCCCCACCCTCTATTAATTCCCCATGCCAGTGATGAGTTGAAAAAATAATTCCTCGGGGGAATTAATCGAGTAAATAAGGTATACTTCATTGTTACCGTATTTTCTCAAATAATTTTATAAATAAGGATACTGGCTCAATTAGACTTTTTGAGAATCAATTAAGCATTTGCGTCTCAGAATAATCAGAATAACAAAAAATTATTTTCTAACCATCTCGCTAGCCCTGCATTTCCTGTGCCAGGTGCTAAAGGAACAGAGCAAGGATTTGTAGCTAAATTAGGATATATAATTCTTTAAATTTCAAGAAATATAAATTGCCTCCAGGACAGCAAACAGTAGTTTCTGGAACAGCGCCAAGATGGCACCAAAAATTGACCTTAAATATTTCTTAATTTTTTCAAAAAAATTTAATTTACAGGGCATGTATCTCTATTTGTGGCAGAGCAAAAGAAAATTTGGCCACTCTCGCTTTTTGCTGGTTGACCAATACAAGGGTCTTAAAATAAATTTATTAAAAATAATTTTCAAAAATAATTTTCAATTTTTGAGGGTTTCTTTTTTCCTGTTGCGATTTTTGACAATTTAGCTGTTTCTAAACTACTGTGGGGGATAAAAGAAAGACCAACAAAAAACAGAACAAATAATTATGCTCTAATCAGAACAGACAAGAATCAACCAAAATTAGAGGGTTAATAAACCCCCTCGCAAAAAACTTATCATTCGTAAGAGCTCAACGAGTCAAATAGTGGTTCGCTTATCCTAGCATAGTGAAACATTAATATCATACAAAAATAGTAAATATTATATGTTGTAAAATATGATAATTAAAAGAAAGTGGCCAAAAAACAAATTTAATGTAATTTTTTTATTTTTACGGTTACATGATGGTATATTCTGATTTTTAATCAAAAAAATTTTTTTATTCTACTTTTGTTAAATTTTTATTTTATGATTTTTTCGAGCTTAAACGTGTTATTTGTCGATAATTTTATTACAAATTAACCTAAACCTCTGTCAGCTATCACTGAACTCTTTTAAATATTTAAGGTAAAACTCACTGTCTAGAGGAAGACAAGCAAGTTGACAAGCTCTCTAAATTAAATTTTAAAGGGTCCTTTACATTAATTAAACTTACCAAATTCAGAAAATTATTTTGATTTCCTTTAAGCCCCTTGTAGAAGAAACTTTTGCAGGTTTTTGAAGCTGAATCATAATAAAAACGTTCCAACTGGGCAAAACCCTCTCCTGTAGACATTGGTAATTGACAAGGATTTGGATTTGCTTTGAAATGAATTTTGGATTATTTTTTGTAATTTTATGTAAGATAACAAGTTTTTAAACGAAAATGCTTCACAATTTTTAGGAAAGGTAAAAATGGCACTTTTATTTTTTGAATTTTTTTTATAAAATTTTTCTAAAAATGCAAAATTTTAATAGTTAAATGATAACTACAACGACGGAAAGGTTAATTATAAGGGGGTTCTGTACGCAAACCCCCCATCCAAAAATTTATTTAAAATAAAATAATTAAATACACTGAAATGAATGTTAATCAAAACAATTTAAATAATTCTAAATTTGTGTTTTATATATTAAGTAAAATTGAACGGAACACTATCCACCGTTGACAGAACAACTTCCCCGTCAACGGGAAGTTTTCCTCTGGGGACGAAAATTCCTAGCGGAAACGAAAATTCCGTTTATTTCCTTGGTGACGAGAATCCCGAAAATGTTGGAGACGGAAGTTCCGGAAAGTCTTGAAGACGAAAGTTCCAGAGACTAAAATTCCGGCACCCGTTTCAGACCTCTAAGCAAAATTTGAAGTATATTTATTTACCATCCGGGCAGCAAACAGTGCTAGCAGCATTCGCTCCCACATGGCACCAATAATTGTTTGGGCATGTATTCATGGAGGTACTCACAGCACAGCTTTGAATACGCCCATCAGCCCCAACAAATGGAGTTCCTTTTAATAAAAATTATTAGTAAATTTCTCAATTCAGGCCTAGGAAAAATTTATTGGATCGGGAATGGAATAGAATCGTCATGGAAATTGCCCAGACACAATTATATCTCTTATTCATCCGTTAAATATCCATACAAATAACATTAAAAATGGCCTATCCAAAAGAATGGCAAGAGATTGGAGTGATCAATTAAGCTTTACATAAATGGAGTCCTAGATTTTCCGTTTTTTTAATTTTGTTTTTTCTTTCTTCAAAGACAGTTGATCTAAAAAAATAGCCTATTAAAAGGGTAGGTGCGACGGAAACGCAAAATCAGAACGGAAATAAACAAAAAAGAAGAGTAAACAAAAACCAAAACAATCAGAACAAAATATGTACTAGTCCCAAACAAAAGCTCTAAAAATAGCAAAAAAACAGAAAATAAACCAGAATAAATACTCATCAATCAGAGAACATCGTAATAAAGAATACAAAATTAGAGGTTTTATAAACCCTCTCTCAAAAATAATAAATATGCAGTTCGAGATTACCCCAACATTGTAGAAACGAAGTGAAATTTATTAGAATGTAAAAATATTAATTTGCATACGTTGTAAAAAAAGAAAAGACATACTCATTTTTCGTACCATACTAATTGTAAAAAATAACGTCAAATAAAATTCAACTTTAAAATTTATCGTACTGTATTCTGTAGCGTATTTCCGCTACTGTTTACCGACATATGTATACCAGGAGTCCTGCCGCCTCGATTCCCAAAAATTCCTGAAAATCGGGAAGTACTGACGCTTTTTTGTGTCGGGATCCCGATTTCCCGAAATCGGGAATTTTGTTTTTGCGTCGGCAGGATCCCTGAGATAAAAATACCGATGGAAGAAAAAATACCTTGCGTCCGGACCCCTACTAATATATTCTTACCGGAAGGGCACGGATTAGGAAGACAAGCCAACTGGCACTCCTCAAGAGTTAGAAAATTGTTTTGATTCCCCTTAAGTCCCCTATAAATAAATTGGTGACATTGTTGTGTTGACGGCTCGTAGCCAAATCGCGGCAATTGGGCTGTTCCTTCTGAGAAACTTTTTAATTTTTAAGAATTTGTTACTCCACCTCCAGGCTCTATAGGCAATTGACATTTGTCTCCTTGGTCTACAATTAATTTTTAAATATTTTTTAATAAATATTGAATAACCTATAGGGCAGCATACGGTAGTTTCTGGTGTACTACCTGTAATAATATTACAATTAAAATCATATAAGGCAGCGGCTTAGTTAGAAAAGAGATCTAGTGTCGAGATCGATATATATTGAAAAGATTGATGGTCTCAAACATATAACGGTTATATCTTTTTAATCTCATGTTATTTCCATTCACACTCAATCGTACCCTACAGTACGATTGAATCTCAAGATTTTTGGCTGACGTAGTTAGGAACATGTCTGCCATCCTATGTCACCATCTATGCACTCCCTTTTTTACGTCAGAAAAATTAGGAGCAATATGTGATGTAATAGAGAAACTCCATTGTACCACCTTTCCCTATTTGAGTCACAAAAGTAGTCCTTCCAATTATAGTCAAAATTCTCGTTCAAATTAATGTTGTTTACAAATTTATTTAATTTTTTTTCGGAGACTGACTTATTAATATTGACATAAAAAGTACACACAAAAAAATAAACCACAAAAAGCGAACGAAAAAACGAATAAAATTACTCATTGTTTGAAAGCATTTTTTATAAAATTATTTCTAATTTAATTAACTTTATTTACCAATGTGACAGTAAAGATCACTTCTACCCTCACAAGCTTCTGGTCCTGGATGGCAGGGAACTAGTGGAAGCTGGATTGGTTGTCGACAAGGGTTAGGAGGGGCTATAATAGAATATTTAATATTAAATAAAATCAGAATATTTTCCAGAATTTTTTAGAGTTCTGATTTTCGAATTTCTGATTTTTCAAAATTAAGGTTATTTGGAACTTCTGATTTCTCAGATTTCAGAATATTTTCACATACATTCTGATTTTGCCAGAATTTTTTAGAATATTTCTTAATTTTTTCAGAATTACCATAACAAGCATTATTGCATTCCTCCAAACTAATAAAGTTATTTTGGTTTCCCTTTTGTCCTTTGTAAGTAAATTGACGACAACAACCAGCAGCAGCATCCCAAAACCACCGGGCTAATTGGTAAAAGCCTTGGCCTGGATTACAAGGTTGAAGGCATGGATTTCCTCCTAAAAATTTTCAGAATTTTTAGAAAAATCAGAATTAATTTCAGAATTTTTCTGTATAAATTTCAACCATCTTCTGATTTTATTAGAATTACTTTTCAGAATTTCTGATTCTTCTAATTTTCAGAATTTTTGATTATTTTAAGAAATTTCTGATTTTTAAAAAAAAAATTCAGAAAAATTTTCAGAATTTTTTTTTCAGAATTTTCAGAATATTTACTTAATAGTTACTTCTGGTTTTACAAAAAAACTAGTAGTAAAATAAATAATTATCCCGATCAATTTACTTAATATTAAATAATAGAAATTAGTTTCCTAAAAAGGAAAATAATTCAAAAAAGACAAGTTAATAAGCAAACAAGTAATAAAAGAATTTTGCTAAAATCCTAACTTTCTTGTTGAAACAAAATCGCTCATGTATGTAACTTCAAATTAGTACATAAAATTTCTATTGGCTTTAAAAGACGAGAGGAAGTAATGTTGTTATTTTTTCAATCATTATTTTTATGCTTATTGATAGAGAATATAAGACTATCAAAAATTGAGATGGGACATTTTCTTCAAAACGAGGTACCCATGGCTTTAAAAATTAAAAAGCTATTTGACAATATACATAATAGTTATATTTTTTCATGAATGTCTAAAAGTATCTACCGAAAATTATAACTTTTCTTTTAAAAATAAATTCCTCATGTAAAGAATATAAAAATTATTTTAGGACATTAGAAATACATGGCCTCGTTCAATGCTAAAACATTGCCTTGCTCCTAGCATTCCCTCAACTCAAAGAGACTTAAATTGCTTTATTCATCAATTTGGCTTTGAACAATTATTTGTAAAAGTTCTCAGCCGCTATCCACCTATAATTCGTCTTCCAGATTTTTTGGGAGAAAATCATTTAAACAAAATTGAAGAAAAATTGGACAATTCCAGGTGCTTATTTTAACGTAAGATTCCTTTAAGCCCCTTATTCCAATTCGGATAATCATGTCTTTTGGAAGAGCTCATCGAGCTGAGTCGAATGTTCCCGAAATTAGATTAATTCAATGATTCTGAACTAAGTTATTATCAACTGAATTTTATCTGGAATTCCGTTTTTGTGTAAATACAGAGGCTTGTTGAGTTCATTCGAATGATAAATTGTCCAAATCCAATTATGTGACTTATAACGTAATTTTTTCATTTTTAATTCTAAAAATTATTTTTGACTAAAAAATTAAAAACAATTTTAGTAATGTAGAATCTATGGGTGTTGAGGGGCTTGTTTACAGTAGTGGACATAGAGGACGTCAAGCTGAGGGACTATGGCTGAGCCATGAAGAGAAGGAAATTCGTCCATTGTATCGAAAATTGAGGAAGACTTTGGCTTTAAACCCAGCCATGGGCGAGGATTTTTTGGTTTGTTTAATGAGCTTAAATTTCTAGTTAAACGACGACCTCATTTTTAACAGCCATTGGGCAGAAATACGAACAAATATTAGAGGGTTATAAAAACCCTCTTACAAAAATATTTAAGTACAGATAACGATAACCAATTTCTTAGTGTGAATGGAACATTTATTAGCATGCATAAATACAAAATTTTATATGTTGTAAAAAACTTTAGAGAAAAGACAATTTTAGACACGGGTACATACATACCTATACACTCAATTTAAAAAGCGGAACTGGTACACTCCGGTATGCGCCCATCATTTTTTTATTTTTAATTCCTGTAGTTCATTAAAAATGGCATTTTACCAACGAAACTAGTTGATTACGAAAAGAACTCTTTGCAAAACCCACAAAAAATTAGAGGGTTAAATTGCCACGCGAAGATTTTACATTTTTATAGATTCTAAGTTATCAACAATTTGGACATTATGCCCCTCACTTTGACCACTTGGAACCCATGCCAGTAGAATACGACGATGGCTGGTTTGCCTACTTTGGAAATAGATTAGCTACAGCTCTGCTAATTGTAAAGACTGCGAAAGGAAGTTTTACAACATTTCCAAATTTGAATCTAACTGTTGGACCGGAAAGGGGTACTGTAATGAATTTAAATACGGAAAAGTTGAGTGTCAGCTGAATTTGATCGGCAATAACTTTTTTGTGCTTGAACCAACACTAATGATTCTTGTCTTTCAAAAGCCCTCAATCGTGGTCTTTTTCCTAATGGGATACATCAATTCTGATCATCAATTAAAAAGTAATAGCTTGATAAGCCAAATTACTAGGTGTTTTTTACGGCTAAAACTTCAACATCGGTCTAAAACTCTTCAACAAGTACTCGCATTTGATCCATCAAATTGGAGAAATGTCACCGCTTATCGAGGTCTTTCGAAGGAGGTCTTTTAAAATTCGTATTGGATCAGGCAACAAAATTGATAAAAGCCGGCTGGCACTCAGCTAACCGCTTTCAATTGACTACAGCTTAAAATTAAAATTTAAAAAATTCAAAATTCAAGGAGATCTATTGTTATGGCTAAATTCCAATTCTAACGGAAAGAAGGAACAAAATGCTCTACATGCAGCATGCCCTATTATTGAAGGTAGAAAAATCGCTGTATCCCTATGGATTAGAAGCAATTTTCAGGCAAGAAAAATAAATAAAGTCAAAATTGTCGGAAAGGTTTATCCTTACCATGAAGGGGTGATAAAACTATATGTTAACGAAATGAAACCTGACGAAACTGTTAAATATACATATATGCCATCATATTAGAGGGTTAAATGAACCCTCTTACAAAAATATTTAAAAAACTCCTTAATCTTGAGGTAATTATGTTTGACAAAAAAGCCATTTATAATAGTATCTAACAATATTAAATTTCATATGTTGTACATATAAATAGGGATAAGTGAAATAGAACAAATACAGTTTTGTCTTAAAATTATGCAGGCACTAGTCTAGTTTATGCGTTCTATGAAAATTTACGAGTAACCGGAAACCTTTTATTCAGTAAAGTTTTTTCCGGAAAATCTCATTCCCTAAATATATTTTTAATTACAGAATGCACTTAAATGTTCTTTAAACCATCCAAGTTATGAACCCGAAGATTTGATTAAAAGAATTCCCTATATTTATGAAGGACCAGAAGGAAGGCCAGATATACCTAGTTGGGTATTTAAATAACGCTTTTGGCTTGTAAATATTTTTTTCAAAATTTGTTTAAATTAAATGCTTCATTTTAAATTTTTATTTATTAATTTTTTGCTACTCTCTAATTATCGGCCCACATTTATTTTACTTCCTTTATTTCTCCTTTCTCCAAAATGTACACTTAGGTCAAATTAATATACAGGTAAAAGATTAAATTAATAAATTCATGCTGTCCAGTATTAGGGATGTGTATTATAATTTTAGGTCAGTAGTCTATTCCAGAGATGAGCCGGCTTAAGAAAAAAGTCTGCTCGAAAAAAACCGGGTTTCAGGTATCTCCCCCCCATCCATTGTCTATTTCGATAGATTTTATGGTAAATCGAAATAATGGTACCCTCATCCCTAGTTGTTAAGTCATATTGTCCTTGAATAATTTCACAAAATTACCCTATTCTTCCTTTTGATACGACTCACGACATAACTTTTTTGGAAAAATGAAAAAAGGAGAAAAAAATAAAATGTGGGGCGGCAATAAAAGAGTGCCTATCTTTTTTAATTTTACCAATTTCTGGGCAGCAAAGGCTTGTTGTTGCATCACCCCCAATATGGCAATAATAATTTACTGGACAAATTTTTGACTGTTCTGATGAGCAATAACCGACATTCCCTTGACTATCTCTTAGAGGGACGCCTACAGCACAGGGATTCGCTGAAATTTTTTAGATTTTTATTAGAAAATGAGTAAAATTAGAGACCAGACTGCGTGTATCAACGTGAATCGAGATCGAGATCTCGAAAAAAGTCTCGATTTTCGAAAAAGTCTCGATTCTTGGAAATCCCGATTCTCGAGGTCTCGAGTCTCAAAAAATCTGTCTCGTTTTTTGATCGAGCTCCTCGCTTGAGATCTCATTTGGTCCAGTCTTTAATCAAAATTTGCCTTGACAGATTTGTTCACAATCCATTCTCGACAAGAAATTGTTCTCATTTCCTTGAAGTCCCCGATAAGTGAATGTTTGACATTGGCCTGCTGGTGCATAGAAATACCAACGCTGTAGTGTTGAACTTCCTGTTCCGGAACTTAAAGGCTGCTGGCAAACGTTGACTTCCGCTAAAAATAAAAAGTTGAGTGGGAAATGTTCTGATATTTTTTCGAGAGTCTGCAAATCAGGGTTGCGTCGTAATTACGAATTACGATTACGAATTACGAATTACGGCGTTTTTTCAGTTACGAATTACGAATTACGATTACGAAAATTTTTTTTAGATTACGAATTACGAATTACGATTACGAAAATATAGGCAAAAATTACGAATTACGAAAATAATTTTGCCAAAAAATTTTAGAATAAAAAGGAGAAGAAATATTTATTTTTTCTCTCTCCTTAGTTGTGTTTATCAGTGGTTGAGTGGGTTAAAAGTCAAGCTTCACTCATTTAATATTTTGTGGTGTTTGGTTCGAATCCAAGTGTGGGAAATAAAATTTAGACAACCTATTTTTTCAAAAATAAACGTTTTTAAATTTGATTTTGATTTTAGGTTTGTAAATTTATATTTTTAATATCTTAAAATTGAAAAAAACTTAAAAATTTTTAATCTAGTCATGAATTTTCTGAAAATTTTTCGCCTGCGGCGCTGAAAATATAAGAGTGTTGGCTCGGGATTAAGTGAGAATGATTTGACATGATATCAAACTTAATCTGGGACGATGATTCCTCATGATTGATTAAAGAGATATCGGAGGATTATTAGGATTAAGAGGGATATCAGGGAATTAATTGGGATTTGAATAATATCAGAGAAATAAGAAGACATGGAGAGATTAATGGGAGAAACAGCAATTATTAATAGATATTTGATTTTTAAAATTAATTTAAATATTTTTAAAAAATTACGAATTACGATTACGAATTACGAATTACGGCATTTTTTCAGTTACGAATTACGAATTACGATTACGAAAAAATTTTTTAAATTACGAATTACGAATTACGATTACGAAAAAAAATTTTCAATTACGACGCAACTCTGCTGCAAATATAATTTCAGGGAAAAAATTATTCTTACTAAATTTACAGAAGGAAATTGTCTAAATTTCTTATAGTCTAAATTCTATTTTAATTATTTCTCTTTTGTAATTTTGAGAGTTAAATATTGTTTATTTGATCATTTTGACATTTCGTAACTAAAAAATAAAAAAAGGAATTTATCACAAAATTGCTCTTTTCGCTAAATTTTCATTTATTTTTTACACAATATAATATTTAATGTTTGGCAATACTAATAAGTTTCATTTAAGTTCTAAACTAAGCACAAAGTTATGAAATGAGGATTATATTTTTGTAAGAGGGTTCTTTAAACCCTCTAATTTTTGGTCTCGTAACGGATTATAATCTGTTTACCATGACTCTAACAATAGTCATAAAAAGCATTAATTTTGATAATCTACGAGCATGTGACGGGCAAAGTAATTTGATTTAAACTTTATTGTTTAGGCATGAAAAATTAATTTATTTTATCAAATATCGAGGGATATCGTAGAATTATTGGGGGTATTACAGAAAAAATATAGAAAACATAATCAACCTAAAAAACTCAAACTAAAGAAATAGGCGAGAAAAAATGAAGGTAACAGGAAAATAAATGAAATAGGCATGAAAGACTACTAAAGTAATTTAATAGTGTAAATTTGACGTCAAATATAAAATTTTGACCGAGGTTAAGCAATGAAAATAATTAGTGTCTAAAATTACTGTTCCATCCTCTATTCTTATAAATTGGAGTTTTCTTTTACACAATATAAAATTTAATATTTCGAATGCTATATTTAGTTTTACATTTGTTTTCAAATATGAGTAGGAAAAAAATGGATGATATGTAATTATTTTTGTAAGAGGATTATAAATCCTCTAATTTTTTCTGATAGGGATCCGTCATTTGTTCGAACAGGGATAATCCGCAAACTAATTTGGATACTCCCCACAAACAAAATCAAGATGAAGAGAAAGAAGGATAAAAAAGGAGAGAAAAGAAAAATAATATAACTTTTGCGCTGGGGGACTTTTGCGCCGCGACTTTTGCGCCGGACGACTTTTGGGCCGCCAATATCATTAATAATTGTAAAAACTACAGCCGGACCTCACTATAGAAGATGTAGAATAGTTGGAATCTTCGGATATCAAGATCCGGATCCGATATCCGACCTAAAATTTTCGGCTATCCGGCCTTTTTCAGATCCGGATATCTGGACCCGACAGACTTACATTATAGTGCACCCTCTTCTGGCAGAAAATCATGCCTGAATAAGGGTAGCAGACCAAATATCCTAATTTGAAAAAGTCAAGTTCTTTGAAGATGACCCCTCTAGGGGGTCGGTTTATTTTTCAACCTTCATCTAGGGGGTCGGTTTATTAAAGAGGGCTATTGTACTTACCGAAATATTGTACTTCCTGAAATTCCTTCAGCTCCTGGATACCATTTTTTAAGAAGTACACTATAATTAGGTCCGACTGTAGATATTATCTTTTAAAATTATGGCGACGCAAATGTCGCGGCGCATAAGTCGCCCGGCGCAAAAGTCGCGGCGCACAAGTCGCGGCGCATAAGTCGCGGCGCAAAAGTCGTGATACCATATTAAGGTAATTTTTAGTTAGAATTTGACAGATTTAAATGAATTTACAAGTTAAAAATATTTGAGAAAATTTTCATGAATTTAGGTTATGCTTAAGTGTCAGTTTGTACCAAAACTACCCAATTTTAGTTTTGCTTAATTGACAGTTTATGCCAAAACGACCCCAATTTTACTGTGACATACACTTCCAGGAATGTTTATAGGTATTTCATTTAATTATTACTTGGCCTATTGCAGCATACAGTCGTTACGGGACTATCCCCAACATGACAAAACTGTTGGTTTGAGCATGATGAGGGCGTTGTTGGTTGGCATAGGAGTAACTGACTACTTCCTAGAGCACAAGGATTTGTGGGCGTTGATGTTTCTGAATATTTTAAATTTTTTAATTTTGCATTTATTGGTAAAATTGTCGTTAGCCGTATACACTCTCGCCCTATTTTTCCGTAACTAATTTTCTGTTAGAAGAGAATGCAAATTTTATTAGTTATTTTTATTTCGAGTGCTCAGCCTGGGACGAGGTTTATAAACCCTCTAGGAAACGTGTCCGGTAGTCTCGTCAGAGGTTAGTTTCGTCAGAGGACATTTTCGTCAGAATCAGTTTCGTCAGAGGGCTTTTTCGTCAGATAGCAGTTTCGTCAGAGGGTTGTTTCGTCAGAGATTAGTCTCGTCAGAGGCCCTTTTCGTCAGTAAGGCTCCCTTTTTAAAAATTTGATTAAACAGCGGTTTTTGATTTATAGTAGGTTATTTGTCTCTGGATCGATTTTAATAAATGAGGTGTCATTCGAAAGAGCTCTGAAAACTGAGTCGAATTAGTTATGGAAGAGGTTGATCCGACACTCCGGGACCGAGTTACAGACTCCTGAATATTGAAAGATCGTGTAGGAAGGCTCAGTCGTCGAACCGACTCAACTCGTCGAGCTGAGTAGGTTGAGCTATCAATTATAAAATATAATTTTTCATCACAAAAATCAGCTTTTCTAAGCTCCTTCGAATTACACCTCATTAGTTCAAATAGATTCAGAAACAAAAAACATATTATAAGTCAAAAACCGCTGTTTAATCAGATTTTTAAAAAGGGAGCCTTACTGACGAAATTGCCTTCTGACGAGACTGATCACTGACGAAACAACCCTCTGACGAAACTGTTCTCTGACGAAAAAGGCCTCCGACGAAACTAATTCTGACGAAAATGTCGTCTGACGAAACTAACCTCTGACGAGACTACAGGGCACCCTAGGAAATGGGTAATTTAAAAAAAAAGATTATTTTTGTCTTCTCGTCACCTCCTACTATAACAGAAGCATGTTAAGAAATGGATCAGAAAAAATTTGATAAAAAGAATCAAGGGGGAGCAGGCCAACTTACCGCGAGCCCTACTTACCGCAGAGCTATAACTTCGTTCAGGATTGTCGAATTTGGTACGCCTTGGTTTGATTCGATGCGCCTCGGCGAGCCGAATTGAACCATACCAGGGAGTCCAGGGAGAGTTGGGGTGTACCCGAATCAAGGGTCATTTTTAATAAGCTAAAACAACCTTCGCATGTATTTTGACACAATTCCTGGCTAGCAAAATTGTTTGAATTAGCACAGCATCCAGACCAATAAAATGGCTCACATTTTGATTGTCCTGGATTGAAGAACCAGCGTGGAATACTAGACATAATTAAGAGAATATTATTTTTTTGAAAATGTTGAATTCCGGAAAATTTATAGTTACAACATATGAAATTTTATATTTCTATTTGCTAAAAGTTTATCTTCGTGGACAAAAGTCACTATTTAATAGAGTAGGGATTTTAATTATCTAATTTTTATCTAATTTAAGGCAGAGTATTGAAAATGTGTTTCGAATTTTGTCGTATTAATTCTCATTGACAAATTTTCATAATTCTTAATACATAATAACTATATTATCTATTCCGTCATTAAAACTTATTAACTCTGTATATTATTCTCAGGGAATATTTTAAAAAATAAAAATGACCGATATGGACCACTGCCTACTTGTTGAGGTTGTTTACAGATTTCCGTTCTTGATGAAACTAAAGAAAAGTATAATTAGAGATAGGATTGTGAGAGTTGAAGAAAATTTTAATCTTTCGAGACATCATGGAATCTCATATTAATCCCACACCTTCATTCCCGCATTTTAAAAGTATCGAAGAGATTTTGAGGCTCTCGTATATATGACCCTCCAAATCCTGTTCCTAACTATAAATGTATTTGCGTATTTAACAATATGTACATGTTATTGGCTTTGATGTTGGAAAACTTGCAAAAGTAGCCAACTGTCTGGTCTGCCCAATTTGTTCTACGGGAAAATTGATAAATTGGGTTGTTGATGGAAGGCTTCCATAAAGTGTAATTCTTGTCATATTTTTGAAAATGTCCTTTATTAATTAGAATTTAATTGAGAAAATTTATATTAAGTACCGTTGGGGATGAATGCAAAATTACATTCTTTAGGGTTGTCAAAATTGAATTTCCTTGTTCCTCCTCACCAACTAGAAGGTTTGCAATTATCAATAGTATATGAAAGAATAAAACTGATGAGATCATTTTTTGCTTCTAAAATTTAGAAATATTTTACAAGCATGGTTTGGCTATGTTCTACGCTTCAGAAGATTCTAAAGGTATGTAGGCAGCATCTTAAGGAAGTTGGAAGCAAGCTTTTAAATATAATACAATAATACATTGAATAAGAAACATGACATGCTTCCAAAACACTCAATATCCAAAATCATTTAAGAAGCATGCTTCAAGCAAGACTAGCACACGGATACTGATTTCGGTATCCGTATCCGCATATTTATGGCGGATACAGATGGATATCCGCAGGCATTTTTATAATATCTGTATCCATATCCGTATCCATGTGCTAGTCTGCTTCGAACAATTTTTTTCAAGGGTATTTAGAAGCATGCTTCAGGAACTCAAATAAGTAGCGAAAAAGTGGAAAGCATGCTACAGAAATTTTGGCAGCTAGCTTCAAGTTTAATACAATAATGCTTCTGACGCATTCAACCATTAAAACATGCTCAAAAAATATTTTTTTGTTTCTGAAGCATGCTTTGGAAACTTGTATTATTAGCTTCATAATTCTAAAAGCCTGCTTCACAATTAGGGTTGTCGGTTTTCGAAAACCGAGAGCGGTTTTGGTTAACCAAAGAATTTGGTGAAACTGATAACCCTATTCAGATTAATATTTAAAATTCATAAATATTCAAAAATATTACTCACTTTAAAAGTTATAATCTTTGAACAGATTATTGACAGATCGGATCAATCGATCATTTATGCTGTCCATTGGCCAAGTCTGCGCTTACTTTTTTCCCTTCCTCTTTTTTAACAAACAATAAATGGGGGGCATTGTTGTTGACTCCCCCTTTATTTTCTTCCTCATTCTATTATCCACAGACTTTATTTGTTGATGAGATGTGAGAGCTAAGTTATCGGGGATATGTATACTTAATGTGTTTATTATGTTTGCAAATTAGTGAGGGATCTAATATTAAAAATTATTATAGAATGAATGGACACTCTGTCAAATTTTACTTGAATGGACATTTTCCATTTTTTGATTTTTCCTATCCAAAGGAATGGATATTTCGACAAATTTCACTTGTGAACTACTGAAGAATCTATGTAAATATGTACATATATAATTATTAGGCTTAAATTAGCCTTTTTTCAATTTTAAAGTCTAAAAATAAAAAAAAATAAGAGAGTAGCTATAGTTATAGTATACGGTATCTATATTTATTATTATTTAATATCCTTTTATTTTATCTATGTATATCCGGGCCCTATATAACAAAAACATTTTGGGTTCTCACTTCTAAGCATATCCGCGTAAATACCTAACATCGTTATGAATGTTTTGGCTGTGCCTCCCAATATTTGATTTAAGCTAGGTATTTGAACTTGATCCGCATTTTAGAAATTAGAAGGGGGTTTTTAATAAACCCCCCAACCCAAAAATTATTTTACAACAATATCGCTGGTTACTGGGAAGCAGAATACTTTAAATAAATAATAATTTGTGTTTTTATATATTAAGTAATTTAAGCATTTTTTAGATTTTTTACTACAAGTTTATTTTTATTTATTATTTCTAAAAATTATTAAAGACAAAGCAATTATCAAAACGCCATTTAAAGTTTTCTTAAAATAAAAAAAAGATGTGGACAAAAAATTTAAAATTTAATTAGTAAGATACACCGAATTTTCCCATGTTTTTAATAAAATAATTTTTCGAAATTTTTCCTATTTTTTGATTAAATTTTATTCTTTTATTGCGTTTGGCGTGATTTTCCGATTTTAACCAAAAATTAGAAAAAATTTTGAAAAATTCAATTTTCTTTCGAAAAATACTCAAATTATCAAAATAATATCCATTTAACCCAAAGTTATATGCCTCGGACCAGCCTAACTTCGAATATTGAGCATTACTCGATTTATAATTTTATCAATTCTTTTTTCTTTTTAATCTAAAATTTTGTTTTAAATTAATTTTTATACCAAATCTAATTCTCTATCGAATGATATCAAAAATGGGTTTATATAACCGCGAATTGTGAGTCTCGTACTTCATTGACCTTGAAATCGACTAGGCTACTTTTTACATTTTTTCAATTATTTTTTCAAAAATTTTTAAAAATGCCAAAAAAGGTAAAGTAAAAATGTGTACTAAGTAAATTAGAAGGGGGTTCTGTACACAAACCCCCACATCCAAAAATTCAAATAATCTAACCAAATATTTTAAATGAGTGTTAAACAAAACATTTTAAATAATTCAAAGTGTGCGTTTATATATATTAAGTAAAAATTAAAATTTTTTCTGAAAATTTTTTTTAATTTTTTAGAAAAACACAATTTTAAGATTTCAATAATAAATTCAAAAAAAAACAATTTAAAAAAATTCCACCACCCTCACAATATTCCAAATCTAGTGCGACACTCTTCTTTGGTTCTATCACGGAATCCCAGTTTTCGTGATCCCTGGATATAGTTACACCAGCTGTTCAACCTTTTTTCGTCATGTTCAATCTTTTGAAAAAAATTCTTTATGGAAATACCAAATTTGCGATTTTGTTACTGTCTAATTGTGTTAGGTTGAAAAATTTAAAGAAATATCTGAGTAAATAATAGTTCGGGTACTAGCTCGTTTTTTTAATTTATCTTTTTTTTACACCATATTAAATTTAATATATTTGTATGCTAATATGTTTACATAAAAAAATGTCGTTCGAAGCGGCCGAAGCGCAGTCAAGATTGTTGGATATTTTTGAGAGGGGGTTTTCAAAACTCTCTAATTATTCTTAACCTTCGCTTGCATTAGAGTTTTGTTATACCTATTAATTTCGTGATTATGAGATGAATTATGATTAGGGTTGGGGTTTTCGAGTCGGGCCGAAGTTCGAGTCATTCTTTTCGGGCCTCATTTTTATCGAGTCGGGCATCGAGTCTTTTTCGGGACAATATTCCATTGAAAAATGTTAAACAAAAATCAATAATGATGTGTAAAAATGCGCGAGAGCGAGTGTCGTATCTATTTTGTGACATAAGGAGTTGAAAGGATAGTAATTTGGAGGGAATCGTTGATTCAGGTCTTGGAGTGATTAAGAGATTACGGAGGATATGATGGGATATAGATGGATATAGGAGGATTGAGGGTTGGGATCCGTAAACTATGTTTCTTCAGCCGTCCCATGATTATCCCGATCCGGGTGTTTAAATCTTGGCTCCAGCTCAGGCCAAGATTTTGAACCGGAGCCATCCTCCTATATTAAGGATCATCGAGCAAACGCAATACGCAATTTGGAATATAAAGGTAATATGGTGATATCTCCAAATCACCAGATATCTCTTCAAATCTCAAACCACCAAAAGCAATTAAAACGGGGTTTAAGCGCCACAGGCGAAATTATTCGAAAATTTTGGATGTCCAAGCAGTATATTTCTTCATTTTTTGTTCCGCAGGCGTTAATTTTGGAAAATATGGAAGACGGTGTAGTCTCCCTTGTATATGCCTCGATTCAGTCTTTATAGTTTAATTCGCTTTAAAAAGATTAAGAGGTCAAGGTATTTGTTTGGATTAAAGTAAAGATCAAGGGATTTTGGGGATTAAGGACGATATTTTGAGATATCAAGAAAGGTATCTGTGGATTTGGATGGATATAAGACATTTTAAACGATAAGTTGGACTCAACTGAGGTATATACAAATGAAATCAACTGTCCGAGAAAAATTAATTTATTTTTGGAAATATGTTTGAAAAAATTCAAAACTTTAACAAAAGTCCAACAAACTTTCATAAAATTTATAAAAAAAAAGTTTTAAAATATTCTCGTCGTTATTCGAAAATTTTGGATGTCCAAGCAGTATATTGAGATTACGGAGGATATTTTAAAAATTCTCGTCGTTAAGGGCGTATTTTTATTTCGATTCGTCGAATTCCTAATTTGGTCAGGCTTACATAATTGGATGAATTACGAAATAAGAAGGGGTTCACACACACAAACCCCCCGTTCCAAAAATTTTTCTACAAAAAAGTTCAATTTTGAGTCTTTTTATGGAAATTACATTCCCCTTAATAAAAATTGCATTTGTATTTTTATATATTAAGTACATAGAGATTATATTTATATTTTAATTAAGATATTTAAAAATTCTTGAAAATTAGGGTAAAATTGACAAAAACACTAAAAAATTGGAAAAATTTTGTATCAAGCGACAATTCAATCCCAAAAAATTTTTTTCATACACATTTAAGTCATTAGCTCTTTTTTCTATTAATTTGTCCTTCCATCTTGCAACGTATGCAATTTATTATTTTTATATGATAATAAGTTTAATTAACACAATCTTTAGTTGTCTCCAATGTTAACGTATGTGGAAATTATTTTTGCGAGAGAGTTTTTTAACTCTCTAATTTTTCTTTTGATTTTTTTCTTCTGCTGATTTCTGCTCTGATTTTTCTTTCTGATTTTTGTTATTATTTTTAGTTAAAGTTCAGGATTGTTTATTTTTTTTATTTTTAGTTGGATATACAGTCGTGGAAAAAAGTATAGAAGCGCTAGAAAATTTTTTCTTAATTCTTAATTTTTTATTCAAAAAATACGTTCTATATACCAATCGAAAGCTCTATTCGTATCTCAGTTGACATGTTTCTGCATTTTTCATGAAAATAAAAATTGGCCGAGATAATCCGGATCTACCGGATATACCAAATCCCACTTTTTCGGAAAAATTTTTCGGAACAAATTTAACAAACCCAAATGATAAAGCATATTTTTCTGAGTATTTTCCACAAAACTGCTTAGAAATATCTTTTTCCGGTCCAGAGATATGATTTTTTGAAAATGGCATTTTTCGTCTATTTTTGCAAAAAATTCAATTTTTAAGCGAAAAATGCGATTTTCAAAAAATCATATCTCTGGTCCGGAAAAAGATATTTCTAAGCGGTTTTGTGGAAAATAACCAGAAAAATATGCTTTATCATTTGGGTTTGTTAAATTTGTTCCGAAAAATTTTTCCGAAAAAGTGGGATTTGGTATATCCGGTAGATCCGGATTATCTCGGCCAATTTTTATTTTCATGAAAAATGCAGAAACATGTCAACTGAGATACGAATAGAGCTTTCGATTGCTATATAGAACGTATTTTTTGAATAAAAAATTAAGAATTAAGAAAAAATTTTCTAGCGCTTCCATACTTTTTTCCACGACTGTAGGTATTTTTTCCGAATTAGTCCCAATCCGCAAGTTTTTCTGGAAAAAGTGTTGTGTGGAAAAATAAAATAAACGGCGGGAAAATCATAAAATTATAATTTTTTTGCATATTTCCCAAGTACGAGAAAGTATACGAGAAAGTACGAGCTACAGTGCGAGCAAATTTCAAAATTCCAACCGCTGCTTCAGAGGCTCATTAGACCAAGATAAATTTTAATTTTTTTAATTTTAAAGATTTTCTTTAATGTTTGTGGAAATGTCCTTTGAAATTTCATAATTTGTCGGCTTTAATAAATATGTTTAGACATATTTAGCAATATTGCCCTTTTACATTTAATCATAAAAAAGTACATTTATTACATTATATATTGTCAAAATACACCGGGTGTTTTTACTTATACATATTTTAAATTATCTTTTTTATTTAGCGTTAATTAATAAAAATTAATTGCATAATATAATTTATTATATTAATTTAGAATGAAATTTGTTAGTATTATAACCTTTTTAATTTTCAATTCGATATTATGGAGTTTAATTAATTCTGTTAAAAATAATAAAAATCAAAACGAGTTAACTAGAGTTGAGGAAACTTCAAAGTATTTGAATAAAATATTAAATGATGATGAAGAATCATCGGTTAATTTTCAAAATCAAAAAAATAATGAAAAATTAAAACCGAAAAGTAAAATTACAAAAAATGAAAAAACAGGAAAAAATGAAGGAGAAAAAAAGTTAAAGAGAAAAGAATATTATAAGGATTACTATCAGAAGAATAAGGAAAGGATTAGTGATAATCACCGAAACTACCATAATAAGAATAAAGAAAAAATAAATCAAATTTCAAAAAAATATTATCAAAAGAATAAAGAAAGGATAAGCGAAAGGAGTAGAGAATATAAGAAAAAATACCAATTAAGAATGAAAATTGAAAAAGAAGCTCAACAAAATGATAGGTCAAGTGTAAGAAACGTTTTTGATAATAATGAAGGAAATTCATTTATTAATAGCCAAAATAATGACTGTGAAAATAAAGGAAAAGAAGCGATTGTTTCCACAGAGAACGTTCAGTTAGATCAAGGAAATATTCATCCACAAAATGATACTCCTTCTCAATCTACTCTTAATGGTGAAGGAATTTCATTTGGTAATTTACAGACTAATGATTATCCGAATAATTTAGATGACACAATTTATGACACTTCTAAACAAGAAAAATTGCAAATGGAAATTAATCCTATTCAAAAAGAGGATCTGGAAAATTTGCCTGATTTGAAATTTTTGGATGCTTCAAATTTTTGGGACGATCCGAATTTATAGGGATAACATTGATTTTTAAAATCACAATTTATTGTTAAAATAAAAATATTTCTTTAATTCTTTATTAAATTATTTTAGCCTTTACTTGTTTTAATTAAGAATAAACAGAAGATTTTTGTCTATGATGGAAGCCAAGGACATCCTTCAATATAATTAATTATTAGTGAATTTCAGACACCTTAGGATGCAGAAAATTTTAATTTTATTGATAGGGGTTGGGTATAAAAATTCATTTACCTAATTATATAATGTATTATAATACCGAGGGTCAATCATTTAATTTGGATTCCTCATCAGAGGTGAGCGCTTGCGTTAAATTTTGGCCTTGCGTTTTGGCCTTGCGTTGCAAAAAAACAAAAATTTACCCAATCTGAGGACAAAATTGGAAAAATCCGGCTTCTTGTCTTTCTAAATTTCTCAAAATTTTTGCCTGCGGCGCTAGAAAAAAAAAGAAATCTGGCTTCTTAGCCTTAGAAAATTCTTACAAATCCTTACAAAATTTGCGGCACAAATGTTCACAACGCAAAAGTCAAGGAACCATTTAAAATACAACTCATATGCGTTTCCACAGCTCCGAGGGTTACCCTTCATTATGATCTGTCCTTTATTATGTCTGCCTAGTTCCATAAATTAAGGTAATACTATTCATATTAAAGGTTGAGCCAGCTGTTTTCCAAATTTATTTTGATATTTTATTTGAAATTAATTAAACAGTTAATTAAATACCCTCTCTACCAAACGATTAATTATTTTTTCTAAATTTTGAATATAAACATAAACTCAGCTATATATTGTAATCACTAGGGATTGAATTTTTATGTTGTAAACTTAGAGCTTTTTATAAAAAAACTTTTTAAGGTGTGAACTATTCAAATTTAGCTTTTTCCCTTCAAAATAATTTCACAGCTTAATATTTATTTAATTTAAAATTATGATAGGCAGTTCCCCAAAATACCTTGCTTCTTGATCTCCTACCCTTTAAAATTCAAAACATTCCCATCGAATTAATAAATCTCCATCTTTTAAATTTTATTTAATAATCCTCCGCGCAGCAAACCTCCCTATATAATCACAACATTTTCCATCAACTTACTTTATATTCTTTAAATTTTCATTTTTTAATATAATTAACAAATATGAAGGAGAACTTGCTCGGGAGAAAATATCTGAGATTTCAATTGTATAGTTTTTAATAATTTTTTAAAAAAACTTTTTAAGGTTGACAAAAAATGGTCAGAACGACGTAAAATTGTTGATAATAAGATTGCAAAATTTGAGTCCGAACATCTTGAAGAGAAGTTAAATTAATTTAAATTAGTTGAAGATTTCTTTGTTTTTTAGTGGAGAAATGGACTAGAAAACCCAATTCCTTTGTATTTGCCTGTGCTAAATTCTGACAGAATTTATATCTGGCTATCTAAAGGTAAAATTTTATTTAATAAATTTTGTCTAAATATAAAAAAATCTTCAGTTTGCAAAAGTGGTGTGAAAACTATTATACTTCAACTACCAGCAATTATCAGAATTGTAAATGACATCAAAATTGTTTATTATTATTTAAATAAATTCTTCAAATTTTACTTTACCCGTGGAAATTTTGGTGGATATATTTTCAACCCAGAATTGATTCAAATATTATTTGAAGAAGAATAACAATTTTATATTGAAAATGCCGGCCTTTTCCTCGATTGCAGCATTGAAGAAAAATTCATATTTATTTAGAAGCATCTTCATATCAATTACTTATCAATAAAGTTTTCTCTGGATAAAGACGCCAGAGAATACACTGATATTTTGTATAGAATTTTGATGAATAGAAAAATGCTCATCAAATTATATTTAACAGCATTTAATTTGCAGGAATTTTTGGAAATTATCTTAAATGTAAGTTTTTGGTTTTTAAAATTTAGGCTTTATTGTTTTAAAAACGGGGACAGATTAGTATCAATTTATTAGAAAAGTTATCCTTGATTCGTGCTTATTGGCGAATTTTTTAATAGCAGGACCTCAATTTGAGATTATCGAAATTTCTTAAATTTTAGTTGATTGAGACATCAGAGGATTTCTCAAAAATAGTGGCTAATATTCGATTGAAAACTGTTGTTAATTTTGTTGGGCTAGAAGAGAGAGCTGAAGAGACTGAAGAAGAATATGCATGAGAGTATTTTTCCGTATAAAATACCATCTTTGCAACGAATTCAAGCCACAAATTGAATTTTCCATTGATTATGATACAAATTCTCATAGATAATTTGAAGATGTTTTGGGCATTGAACGAATAAATCATTAATTTTTTCTTAAATATTTTTTAATTTTAACTATATTTTACTTATTATTTTTGATAAAATTTGCTTGATTTTCCAATCTACAGTTCTTTTAAAGCTTAAGAAATAAGCTTTCCTTGATAAAGCGATTCAGAAGAAGACAAGTCAGAATAATAACTTTATTCTTCTTCATCTAAATTAATTGGGTGCAGCCCATCATCGAGATAAGGAGATTGGTATCAATATTGATAGGGCAAGAAACTTTCCAGCTAGTTAAGGAAAATATAAAAAAAATTTTGCGCGCCCTTTTGGGCGTGTCCCTATTTTTTCACTTGTTCCAGAATTAACTAATACATATTAAATCAAAAAAGGAAATTTAGAAAGACAGACTAGTTGAGAATAAAAAATCAGAATTTATTTTGTACAATTTACATTCTGTCTAATTCACATGGATTGATATTTTGCCCGATTTATAGGAAACGGCATTTTGTCTACCTTTTCCATTTTCCCACACTTGTTGAAAATTACAATTTTTTATTTTTATCTTTATTTATTGTTAAAAACTAAAAAAATCGCCGATGAGAAAGCTATAGTTTAATAAAATACTAAGCGTTCAACGTACAAAAAAATCAATTTGGCTCTCTTGCTAAATATAAAAATGTTAAACAATCATCGTTAATTTATTGCTCATTTATACATTTTTTAAATTAAAAAATAAATATTGTGTAGTTTTCTCTCAGTTTCCCTTTATTTTAAAATAAATATGGACAGTCTTGTTTCAACTTTGAGTTCAATCTCCTTGGAAGATCCTTGGCGATTATGGCTTTATGAATGTAATGATTTTCCTCAACACTGCCCTCCTAGAAGGAATATTGAAAATGTAAAAATAATATTTGACTTTAATTTTTCAAAAAAAATTATTAAGGGGAATGGCTCGTCTGGAAAGCATTTTTGTGGATTTTGTGTGAGTCATTGTTTTAAAAATAATTAGTCTTAGCTGGGGAAACTAAATAGTAGTGTTTCACCGGAACCGAAATTTTGACCGTAACCGGATCCAATTTGAGTTTCCGTTTATCAGAATAGATAATAAGAAATCAGAATTCAGATTTGAAAAAAATCAGAATTCGATTCAGAAAAAGCAGAATTCCGATCAGAGGAATCAGAATTCTGGTCGTAAATATTAGAATTCTGATCAAAAAATATCAAAAGTTTGGTCAGAAAATCAGAATTCAATAGGAAAAACCAGAATTCTGTTTAGAAAAATCAGAATTTTGGTCAGAAATATCGAAATTCTGGTCAGAAAAATCAGAATTTTTGTCAGATGGATATCAAAATTTTAATATGATTTTGTTTTGAACTAATTCCCCAAGTTTCAGCAACAACTTGGGAAGCTTAAACACTTATTTACAAATCCTTTTGAAGAATCTGGGGATCGTTGGATGAATTATTTAACAAAAGATTGTTTTTACAAGAGTGCACAAACTATGTTTCGCTCTATTCAATTTGCCGTTAATCGAAAAGAAGATAATTTGTTGCCTAGTCAGCTGGCTAAGCATATTTGTGAGTTAGAGAATTATCAGAAAAAATCAGAATTTAGATCAGAATTTTAACAAAAAGATCAGAATTATATCTGAGTTCTGATTTTTTTCTGGTTCTAGATTGGAATTCTGATTTTTCATTTCCGATTTAACAAAATCAGAATTTTATTCAAAAAAGACCAGAAAAATCAGAATTCTGTTCAGAAAAAAAATCATAACCTATCGGGAAAAAATCAGAATTTATCAGAGAAGTAATCAGAATTCTGATCAAAAAACAGTATTTTTTATAAAACAGAATTATCAGAAAAAAATCAGAATTCTGATAAGAAAAACCAGAATTTTTACCAGGAAAATCAGAATAGATCAGAATTCTGATAAACATTTTAACAAAAAAAAATCAGAATTCTGGTCATAAAATCAGAATTTTGCTTATAAAAAAATCAGAATTTTTTTCATTTTCCAGTCTTTAACAAAAAATATGGACGTGCCTTCTTTCGTGAAGGAATTCCACCCAATTACGAAGACCCTCAAAACTTTAAAGGGGGAAATTTCCAACTTTTATTACTTGGAACGACAGGGAATATTCAATTATTAAAAGAATTTGACAAAATTTTTATTATTTGTGTTAAAAATTTAATTGGAAATGAGGGGGGAAATATTGACAAGAGATTTAATGGAATATTTTTACGTTGCGAAATTAATCCTGGGAAAAATTTGGATAAATCTATTGATAATTACAGTGATTTGAAGGATTTGCCTTTTATGGTTAAAATTGAGGTGAATTATTCTGTTCTGTTTTCCGGAGAGAATATAAATTTTTGGGGAGTATTTAATTACATATAGTACGTCCAGATTCAACTGAGTTACGGCCCTATAACTCAAAAAGATGCGAATAATTTTTAATGTTCTTGTTAATATTCGATACGAAGATTCTTGAAATCGGGAGCAGGGTACCGCGAGCCCAAGGTACCGCCGAGCTATGACTTTGTTCAAAATTATCGAATCCGGGACGCCCTGATATTGTTCGACTCATCTCGTCAAGGCGCATCGAACCATGCCAGGGCGTCCCGGATTCCACAATTTAGAAGAAAGTTATAGCTCGGCGGTACCTTGGGGTTGCCCCTTGAAATCTTTGTATTTAATTCTCTATCTAATGGTGACAGGAAAATTAAAAAGTGACCATCCCTTCAGTGGATATAGGGGCCGTGACTTTACTACTTTGGGACCAGAATTGCAGATTGCGGATTTTTTTTACTTTCGGACAGCGGCTGCGGATTTTGAAAAAATTGCGGATTGCGTCTGCAAAAAATTTTTTTTCAATTGCGTCCACCACTGGTCGGGACTGAAGATCGGTCTGGGTCTGGACCAAGGCCTGGGTTTTTCCTGTACCCAGAGTCCAGGCCTAGGCATTTTTTGACCTTCCTGGGTTTTTCCTGGGCCTGGGTTTTTCCTGTACTACAGGTCCAGGATCCGGCCCAGGGCAATAAATCAAACCCGGAACCCAGGAACAGGCCCAGGCTTTTCAAAATTTCCGAACTCTAGTCGGGACCCATTAAATGTCTACACATAAAAAACATTTTATTTTCAAAAATATTATTTTTATTTTCTCTCCGAAAAATATTATTTTACTTTATTCCAACTTTTATTTCCAGTTATGGATTAAAGACCAATCTGATTATAAAAAATTATTATCCACATTAATCAAAAAGATTGAAGAACAAATTAAAAAAGAAATTAAATTTCCCAACGAAAAAATAATGAGAAACTTTGAATACCACAATAGCAGTAAACGAAAAGAAGTTGTGAAGAAAATTGAGCTTATGAGGAACTTAAAAATTGAAAAAGAAATAAATTCGAAAAGAGTGGTTGGGATTAAGAAAGCGAATAAAAGTAGAAGTGATGATATGTGGAGGGAATAGAAGAAATAAGAGAAAATTTAATTTGAATACAGTATAGCCTTTATTAATTGCCCTCCCTCAAATAATTACCCCACTTTCATTAATTACCCAATCCAGTAATAGATTGAAACAATAATTACCCCCAAACAAATGCCCTAAAACACGTTCAAATTTCAAGCTTCGTACCCTCACTCGATTAATTACTCCCTCCAGCGAAAGGTCCAAAAAACCCAGGGGTAGTTATTAAAGGATATACGGAAATTAAAGCTTTTAAATTTAATTTATGATTATATTTATTTTAAATTTGAAAATTCCAAACAATGTCTCAAGTAAATTTCCACATTTTTTAGGGATTCATGCGAATCCCCGTCCCAAAAATTTGTGTAAAAAAATCATCAGAATTAACGGGATTTTGTATTTATACATAAGTAATTTATTAATTTAATTTTTATATATTAAGTAGCTTCTTACGGACAAAATTTTGCACTACTTAAATATGAATCCCCAGTTAGTCTAAGGGGCCTAAAAATTGACTTGAAAGTTTTAATTTTTGGTCTTGATTCTTGGGGTCTAGTCTTGAGTCTTTGAAAATCTCTGATCTTGGACATCTCTTAAAAATTTTTATTACAGATAGGTGGTGATTGTTTTACTAATTGGGTGAGGAGGAGGTAAGAGATAGTGGAGGTAAGAGAACCGAAAATTTGGCAGGAACCGGATGCTGCTAATTTCCTCCATATAAAAAATGTGAAATCAAATTCTTAGGAGTGTTAAAAAGTTCACGTTTAACCGGAACTAAAGGATCGGATTGGAACCGGAACTTCCGGCGAAGCTCTAGTGTAAGGAAGAGAAAGAGAAAAAAGATTCAGCTGGCTAGCATTTAAAATGCTCACTAGGCGGGGGTTTAAGATCTATTAAAAGAGAAGGTGAAAGCTGCGTCCGGTAGCTCAGTTAATAGAGCACCTGTACGTGGTGAGCGAAAGTGCCTAGCAATAACTGCCAGGAGGTCGCAGGATCGAAGCCTGCCCGGCATTAAACTTTTACCTCGCTCTTACTCTAGTAAAGAATATCTTATTACCAAGAAGTGTTAATAGGTTGACTACTTGGTTTTGGGAGGGGGTAAGAAATTTTAAGATGTTAAATGACCATGTGCGAGAAAATTGTGTGCGTAATGGACAACTTGTATCAATAAAAATTATGGCAAAAAAAAGGAAGATCACCACAAATCACCACAGACGCCAGATCGGTAAAATAACGTCAAAATGGCGAGCCACAACTTATTATTTACCTATTATCTATTACAGCACAAACCCGTTTCGGAAGAACCTAAAATAAATTTTACAGGGTGCGGCAAATTAAGCGCGCGTTTTGTTTTGGCCATATCTTCCTTTAAAATCAACAAAAATTGACAATTCTTTTTTTTATTTTATTCACAACTCTCTGAGAAAATTTTTTATACCAAAATCTCCTTTATATTTTAAGATTCACTTTGATTAATCTTTTTTCAATAATTAGCTAATAATTAGCATTATTTACACAGTAATATAACCGCATTCTTCAAGGCAGTGAATATCCCAGCTTATACATAACCTCCACGGAGACCATAGATAGGGAGCTAAAACACGAGTCTTTAAATGTCAAAATTTTTTAATGTCTTAAGTAGATTTCCACATTTTTTAGGGATTCATGCGAATCCCCATCCCAAAAATTTGACAAAATAAAATATAAAAGCCATTATTAACAAGATTTTGTCATAATACATAAATAATTCTTAATTTAATTTTTATATATTAAGTAGTTTATTATGGGCGAAATTTTGCACCACTTAAATATGAATAGATTTATTTAATTTATCATTACTTCGGAACCTTGTATTCTTTCCGATTTTTTTTGTAAAATATAATAGTTTCCGGAAAAATAGAAATTTGATTTTTTTCCGGAAAAAACTATGTTTTAATACCATAATTTTCTAATAATTACTCTATTCAATCTTTCGCTTTAGAGGGGGGGGGGTAATTAATAGAGCGAAGTTGGATATATTTAATCTGAATATGCATCAACAACATATACATATTACCCAAATCCTTTAAAATATTGGATATAGTGTAGTGTACCGGTGGTAAAAGTTCGGGACGTGACATATGTCATTCGATTCGTCTCGACGAGCTGAGTCGAACGGTACCACTCCCTACTTTAGGAAATAATTCTGGGCCGAGTTATAGGTCCCGAAAAATTGAAAAACCATAGGGGGAGTAAGCTCGATTTTGGGGTGAAAAATTCGAATATGCAAATAATAGCTCATTCAAGAGAGCTCTTCGAGCTGAGTCGAATGATACCAAAATCACAGCGATTGAACAAAATTAGACAAAGTTACGACACAAAAACAAACAACGTATACCTATGGGGCGTCGGCGAGGCGCTTGTGCAAAACTCCGCGCTTCGCGCGGAGTTTTGCGGCACGCGCCTCGCGGGGAGTCTACGGGCGCTGGGTCTGGGCTCGTAACATAAACCTAGTCCCATTTCCCTTGCTCTGGATGTTCTTGGGGCTCCAGTAGCATCAAAAACCTCCACGGGCGCCATAGGTAAGGAGCTAAAACAAACGAGCATAACTTTGTCAAATCAAGTCGGATTTTGATGATTTTGGTATCATTCGACTCAGCTCGAAGAGCTCTCTTGAATGAGCTATTATTTGCATATTCGAATTTTTCACCCCAAAATCGAGCTTACTCCCCCTATGGTTTTTCAATTTTTCGGGACCTATAACTCGGCCCAGAATCATTTCCTAAAGTAGCGAGTGGTACCGTTCGACTCAGTTCGCCGAGACGAATCGAATGACATATGTCACGTCCCAAACTTTTACCACCGGTACACTACACTACAGCCAAAATATTTTCACTTTTTTATTCCAATCTACATTTTTCTCCCTCGACTTGAATAAAAGCTTTTCACGTGATTCACCCCAAAAATAAAATGATAGGGCAACAGCAGGTGGATGAAATGGAATGGAAAGAGAGAGATAGGGCGTTAAATAAAATTAATATATAAATTTTATTATTACAGAAACAATTGACATTAATAAACTAAAAATTTTTGATCACCCCATTCTAAACATATAAAACTGCTGGTTTGTTTATTGTGGGCTGACTAACAATTAGTATTTTCTCTCAAATACATATTTTCATTTTAAGGACAAAAATAAATATTTTGTAATTTTTTTTCTTTTAAAAATTTATTTGAAATGATTATAGTTAAACGGCTCTCTAATATGAAAAACATATAGTCAATACATATACCTCTAAGTATTATTATTATACCTTCAGGAAAACTTTCCGGAAGACACATAGGTTACTATTTTATAACTTTCCGGAAGACTATCTATTCTTTTTTATATTCCGGAAAAGTCTCCGGTTGTTATACTTTAATATTTCTGAATAAGGTTGTCGGTTTTTGAAGAATCTATCCGGAACCGAACTGAAGAACTGAACCAAAACTCATCGATTTTCTGGTTCAATTCCAAGTCGACAAGCCTATTTCGGGAGATTTACTTCATTCGATTTTCTCACTTCTCGACCCATGTAAATTATCATTAAAGCAACAAATTTAGGGTTGAATAAAACTTTTTTAATAATCTGTATAAAAAATGCCACCACTTAATGTCTCAACACCTCAACAAAGCAGGCAAAATGGAAAAATGACAGAAGAAGATGAAATGTTTTTAACTATGGAAGTTAATGATTTAAAGGAATTGGAGGAAAAAGCTAAAGCAGTAAAAAAATTAATAATTAAATAAATTTTTTATCCGTTGGGAAGGCAATATAAAATTATTTTTATAACTCTGGAAAAGCTCTAATAAATAACTCTAATAAATTATTTAATAAACTTTCCGGAAAACTTATAGTTATTCTACATATAAAATCCGGAAAACTTTATAACTATAATATAATTTTGTTTTTTCCGGAAGCTTCGGAGCTTTATGCTTTCCGGTTATTCTATAGTAATATTATTTCCGGAAATCTTGTCGCTTTTTATATTTATACCGGAAGTTTTTCGGAAACTATAGTTATATATTTTCCGGAAACATAGTTATATTCTTTCCGGAATCATAGTTATATTCTTTCCGGAATCATAGTTATATTCTTTCCGGAATCATAGTTATATTCTTTCCGGAATCATAGTTATATTCTTTCCGGAAACTATGGTTATATTCTTTCCGGAAACTATGGTTATATTCTTTCCGGAGACTATAGTTATATTCACTCCGGAAACTTTTACATCCCTCCCGAAAGAATATAATCATGGTGTTTAATGCATAATTATAAATAAATTCCAGGCCAAATTCAAAACACAAGTTGTATGGAGGAATGTTGGTCTCTATGTTTTGCTACAAACTGGGGCAACTATTGGTCTATATCAGCTGTTTTTTACTGCCAAATGGTTGTCTGTTGCATGGGGTAATTCCTCTATATTTTTAATCCAAACCTCTTTCCCATCCAGTTATTATTCTTTGGATGGTTAGCGGTGTTGGAATTACTGCAGGTCCTCACCGTTTATGGTCACACAAAAGTTACAAGGCCAAAACTCCTCTAAAAATAATTCTTATGTTTATGAATTGTGTTGCCTTCCAAAACGATGTGATTGAATGGTCGCGTGACCATAGATGCCACCACAAGTGGACTGACACTGATGCTGATCCGTGAGAATTATTTTAGTATTCATGATATAATTTTATCTTTCTATCAGTCATAACATCAATAGAGGATTTTTCTTTGCCCATATGGGATGGCTACTGTGCAAAAAACACCCTCTAGTAAGAGAAAAAGGAGCAACTTTAGACATGTCTGATTTGACTTCTGAGCCAGTCTTGGCTTTTCAGAGAAAGTTTGTTAAATAATTTTAGATAATAAAATGGAAGCATTAGTTGATTATTTTCTGGAATCTTCCTATTTTTGTTTTAATACCTTTTAAGAAGATACTCTGATTATTAATAATAAACTTGTTATTTTCCGGAAAAAATATAATTTTCCGGAAAGAATATAATTTTCCGGAAAAAATATAATTTTCCGGAATAATATAACTTCCGGAAAAAATATAATTTTCCGGAATAATATAACTTCCGGAAAAAATATAATTTTCCGGAAAAAATATAATTTTCCGGAATAATATAACTTTCGGAAAAAATATAATTTTCCGGAATGATATAACTTCCGGAAAATAAACTTTTACCGGGCAATAAACTTTTTCCGGAAAGTATTATATTTATTCTGATTATTTACTGCTATCAAAACTTACCGGAAAACTTATTTATTTATTTACCGGAAACTTAATATTCTAAATTTTAAACCTTTTCCGGAAAAATATATTCTGGTTTTTAAAACTTTATTTTTTCAGATATTACCTTCCCCTCGTATTCATTTTCTGTTTTCTTCTCCCTACAGCAACAGCTGTCTTTTTATGGGGTGAATCCGTTTGGATTGCCTTTTGCACAGCAGCATTGTTTCGTTATTGCTTGAATTTGCATGCAACTTGGTTTATTAACTCGGCGGCACATACGTAAATTTAGACAAACATTTTCTTTGACTAATCAAATATTCTTTCAACTCTCCTTCAGTTTTGGCTACAAGCCTTATGATGTCGCTATCAAAGCTACCGAGTCAATGTTGACCACTTTGACTGCTTGGGGCGAGGGAGGTCACAATTATGTAAGCCTAAAAGACTCTCGGCCACCTTATTTTTAACTTTAAGCATCACACATTCCCCCAAGACTACCGTACTTCAGAGATGCTCGGTGTTTTCAACTTTAGTCGACTTTTTATCGACTTTTTTGCCAAAATCGGATGGGCCTATGATCTTAAAACTGTGGATGAAAAGACAATTCAACGTCAAATGGGCCGACAACTTGAAAGGCTGAAAGAGGAGGAGAAGAAAAATAGTAGAGCAGCCTAAATGAATTCAGAAAATTTTTATTTTGTTTTAGTCAGAATTGTCATTTTCCATCGCTTATGTAAGAAAATATGGTATTTAAAAAATTCATTTTAAAGTAATTTTAAAGAAACTATTAATGAGAGTTTCCGGAAAAGATTTTTCAATGAATCAGAACTTCTGGAAATTTTAATTATATACACAATTTCCGGAATATATATAATTTCCGGAATCCGGATATTTTTATAATTATTTCCGGATTTTAATATATTTATAATTTCCGGAAATCTATTTAATATTCCGGATGGTATATATAACAAACTTTCCGGAAATCGTTTATACATAATACCGTATACTTTCCTGAAAGATATTTTATAAATCAAAGTTTTTCCGGAAATATAACCCTTCCGGAATTATATAAATTGAATATAAACATTTTCCGGAAAGTTGGTTATATATAAAAACCTTCCGGAATTATTCAGACTTTTCTCTCCATATTCATTTCTAATTTATAATACATTCCGCTTGTTTCATGAATAATCAAAGTTTGATCACAGTTTTTCGTTTCAATTTAATAATTTAAGAAAATAGTGAATTAATTCTTGCATTAGCTGTTAGTTATCTCATTTAAATTATTTTTATTTATTCTTTCCTCTGATATATCTTCATCCATAGTCCACGGCCTCGGCTCTACCCGAGCAGTAAAATTGAAAAAAGTTGTGCAAATTACTTGACTAACAGCTATTCCAATAAATATCCTATTCCACTCCTCTGCCGTTTTATTTGGTGCTAGTCTGCTTGAAACTTCTGGCAAAACTCTGAATAATTTTTTAAAATTTAATTTGTACCCACAAGAAACTCACAAAACTATTGCGTAACTAACAAAAGTATTCCATGAGAATATGGAAGCAGAAAATTGACGAATACTCTAAGTAAACAGAAAATATTTTTAATTAATTATTTAATTACAAGCTGGGCGCATTTTACTGCCCCAATTTGCCATAGGCCTGAAAACGCTGCTACAGCAGTGTAACAAGCTTGAATTGCTATAGTTTGGTCTTTGGGAAGCAAAACTAGTGCTGTGAAAAGTAGAGCCATGAAATACTAAAATATAAAATATCTGGGTATAACTTGAAGTATCTCCGGATTTTCGGAACCGAAACATAATCGAACTGGACCTCTCAATTTCTTAATTCTTCTTAATTCATTCACTATTCTTTTAATAAAAAATATTTAAGGTTAAGAAACTTCAAGGGTTGAATAAAAAATATTTTTTTAATAATTTGTATAAAACAATGCCACCACTTAATGTCTCAACACCTCAACAATTCAGGCAAAATGGAAAAATGACAGAAGAAGATGAAATGTTTTTAACGATGGAAGTTAATGATTTGAAAGAATTGGAAGAAAAAGCTAAAGCAGTAAAAAATTATAATTAAATAGATTTTTTATCCGTTGGGAAGGCAATATAAAATTATTTTTATAACCCTGGAAAAGCTTAGAAATCAAATAAATTATAATAAAGCAGCTGGGCTATAGCTATTTCTCTCCTTTAGCTAGTGCAAAAGGTTATTCGGACTGATGTGTTAGCCATTACACCACGCCGCCTACTGCATAGCCTTAGGAAATAGATAGTTTCCGGAAGGAATATAACTATAGTCTCCGGAAAGAATATAACTATGTTTCCGGAAAATATATAACTTTACATTATTTAATAAACTTTCTGGAAAACTTAATAGTTATTCTATAAAATCCGGAAAACTTTATAACTATAATATAATTTTTTCCGGAGGCTCCGGAAATATTTACTTTCCGGTTATTCTATAGTAATATTACTTCCGGAAGTCTTGACGATTTTTATATTTATTCCGGAAAAATTTTATACTTAATTTTCCGGAAGCTATAGTTACCTATATTCCTTTCCGGAAGCTATAGTTATATTGCTTCCGGAAACTATAGTTATTATATTCACTCCAGAAACTTTGGTTATTATATTCTTTCCGGAAAATTAGATGACTTTCAAATTCTTTCCGAATGAATAAACCTAATCAGTGTTTAATGCATAATTATAAATAAATTCCAGGCCAAATTCAAAACACAAGTTGTATGGAGGAATGTAGGTCTCTATGTTTTGCTACAAACTGGGGCAACTATTGGTCTATATCAGCTGTTTTTCACTGCCAAATGGTTATCTGTTGCATGGGGTAATTTCCTCTATTATTAAACTCTTCAAACCCCCATCCTCTTTCCCATACAGTTATTATTCTTTGGATGGTTAGCGGTGTTGGAATTACTGCAGGTCCTCACCGTTTATGGTCACACAAAAGTTACAAGGCCAAAACTCCCCTAAAAATAATTCTTATGTTTATGAACTGTGTTGCCTTCCAAAACGATGTGATTGAATGGTCGCGTGACCATAGATGCCACCACAAGTGGACTGACACTGATGCTGATCCGTGAGAATTATTTTAGTATTCATGATATAATTTTATCTTTCTATCAGTCATAACATCAATAGAGGATTTTTCTTTGCCCATATGGGTTGGCTACTTTGCAAAAAACATCCTCTAGTAAGGGAGAAAGGAGCAACTTTAGACATGTCTGATTTGACTTCGGAGCCTGTTCTGGCTTTTCAGAGAAAGTTTGTTAAATAATTTTAGATAATAAAATGGAAGCATTAGTTGATTATTTTCTGGAATCTTCCTATTTTTGTTTTAATACCTTTTAAGAAGATACTCTGATTATTAATAATAAACTTGTTATTTTCCGGAAAAAATATAATTTTCCGGAAAGAATATAATTTTCCGGAAAAAATATAATTTTCCGGAATAATATAACTTCCGGAAAAAATATAATTTTCCGGAATGATATAACTTCCGGAAAATAAACTTTTACCGGGCAATAAACTTTTTCCGGAAAGTATTATATTTATTCTGATTATTTACTGCTATCAAAACTTACCGGAAAACTTATTTATTTATTTACCGGAAACTTAATATTCTAAATTTTAAACCTTTTCCGGAAAAATATATTCTGGTTTTTAAAACTTTATTTTTTCAGATATTACCTTCCCCTCGTATTCATTTTCTGTTTTCTTCTCCCTACAGCAACAGCTGTCTTTTTATGGGGTGAATCCGTTTGGATTGCCTTTTGCACAGCAGCATTGTTTCGTTATTGCTTGAATTTGCATGCAACTTGGTTTATTAACTCGGCGGCACATACGTAAATTTAGACAAACATTTTCTTTGACTAATCAAATATTCTTTCAACTCTCCTTCAGTTTTGGCTACAAGCCTTATGATGTCGCTATCAAAGCTACCGAGTCAATGTTGACCACTTTGACTGCTTGGGGCGAGGGAGGTCACAATTATGTAAGATAAAGGACCTCCTAAGCTCTCTTATTTCTTTGATTTTCAGCACCACACATTCCCCCAAGACTACCGTACTTCAGAGATGCTCGGTGTTTTCAACTTTAGTCGACTTTTTATCGACTTTTTTGCTAAAATCGGATGGGCCTATGATCTTAAAACTGTGGATGAAAAGACGATTCAACGTCAAATGGGCCGACAACTTGAAAGGCTGAAAGAGGAGGAGAAGAAAAATAGTAGAGCAGCCTAAAGGAATTCAGAAAATTTTTATTTTGTTTTAGTCAGAATTGTCATTTCCATTGCTAATATGTAAGAAAATATGGTATTTAAAAATTCATTTTAAGGGTAATTTTAAAGAAACTATTAATAAGAGTTTCCGGAAAAGATTTTTCAATGAATCAGAACTTCTGGAAATTTTAATTATATACACAATTTCCGGAATATATATAATTTCCGGAATCCGGATATTTTTATAATTATTTCCGGATTTTAATATATTTATAATTTCCGGAAATCTATTTAATATTCCGGATGGTATATATAACAAACTTTCCGGAAATCGTTTATACATAATACCGTATACTTTCCTGAAAGATATTTTATAAATCAAAGTTTTTCCGGAAATATAACCCTTCCGGAATTATATAAATTGAATATAAACATTTTCCGGAAAGTTGGTTATATATAAAAACCTTCCGGAATTATTCAGACTTTTCTCTCCATATTCATTTCTAATTTATAATACATTCCGCTTGTTTCATGAATAATCAAAGTTTGATCACAGTTTTTCGTTTCAATTTAATAATTTAAGAAAATAGTGAATTAATTCTTGCATTAGCTGTTAGTTATCTCATTTAAATTATTTTTATTTATTCTTTCCTCTGATATATCTTCATCCATAGTCCACGGCCTCGGCTCTACCCGAGCAGTAAAATTGAAAAAAGTTGTGCAAATTACTTGACTAACAGCTATTCCAATAAATATCCTATTCCACTCCTCTGCCGTTTTATTTGGTGCTAGTCTGCTTGAAACTTCTGGCAAAACTCTGAATAATTTTTTAAAATTTAATTTGTACCCACAAGAAACTCACAAAACTATTGCGTAACTAACAAAAGTATTCCATGAGAATATGGAAGCAGAAAATTGACGAATACTCTAAGTAAACAGAAAATATTTTTAATTAATTATTTAATTACAAGCTGGGCGCATTTTACTGCCCCAATTTGCCATAGGCCTGAAAACGCTGCTACAGCAGTGTAACAAGCTTGAATTGCTATAGTTTGGTCTTTGGGAAGCAAAACTAGTGCTGTGAAAAGTAGAGCCATGAAATACTAAAATATAAAATATCTGGGTATAACTTGAAGTATCTCCGGATTTTCGGAACCGAAACATAATCGAACTGGACCTCTCAATTTCTTAATTCTTCTTAATTCATTCACTATTCTTTTAATAAAAAATATTTAAGGTTAAGAAACTTCAAGGGTTGAATAAAAAATATTTTTTTAATAATTTGTATAAAACAATGCCACCACTTAATGTCTCAACACCTCAACAATTCAGGCAAAATGGAAAAATGACAGAAGAAGATGAAATGTTTTTAACGATGGAAGTTAATGATTTGAAAGAATTGGAAGAAAAAGCTAAAGCAGTAAAAAATTATAATTAAATAGATTTTTTATCCGTTGGGAAGGCAATATAAAATTATTTTTATAACCCTGGAAAAGCTTAGAAATCAAATAAATTATAATAAAGCAGCTGGGCTATAGCTATTTCTCTCCTTTAGCTAGTGCAAAAGGTTATTCGGACTGATGTGTTAGCCATTACACCACGCCGCCTACTGCATAGCCTTAGGAAATAGATAGTTTCCGGAAGGAATATAACTATAGTCTCCGGAAAGAATATAACTATGTTTCCGGAAAATATATAACTTTACATTATTTAATAAACTTTCTGGAAAACTTAATAGTTATTCTATAAAATCCGGAAAACTTTATAACTATAATATAATTTTTTCCGGAGGCTCCGGAAATATTTACTTTCCGGTTATTCTATAGTAATATTACTTCCGGAAGTCTTGACGATTTTTATATTTATTCCGGAAAAATTTTATACTTAATTTTCCGGAAGCTATAGTTACCTATATTCCTTTCCGGAAGCTATAGTTATATTGCTTCCGGAAACTATAGTTATTATATTCACTCCAGAAACTTTGGTTATTATATTCTTTCCGGAAAATTAGATGACTTTCAAATTCTTTCCGAATGAATAAACCTAATCAGTGTTTAATGCATAATTATAAATAAATTCCAGGCCAAATTCAAAACACAAGTTGTATGGAGGAATGTTGGTCTCTATGTTTTGCTACAAACTGGGGCAACTATTGGTCTATATCAGCTGTTTTTCACTGCCAAATGGTTATCTGTTGCTTGGGGTAATTTCCTCTATTATTAAACTCTTCAAACCCCCATCCTCTTTCCCATACAGTTATTATTCTTTGGATGGTTAGCGGTGTTGTAATTACTGCAGGTCCTCACCGTTTATGGTCACACAAAAGTTACAAGGCCAAAACTCCTCTAAAAATAATTCTTATGTTTATGAATTGTGTTGCCTTCCAAAACGATGTGATTGAATGGTCGCGTGACCATAGATGCCACCACAAGTGGACTGACACTGATGCTGATCCGTGAGAATTATTTTAGTATTCATGATATAATTTTATCTTTCTATCAGTCATAACATCAATAGAGGATTTTTCTTTGCCCATATGGGATGGCTACTGTGCAAAAAACACCCTCTAGTAAGAGAAAAAGGAGCAACTTTAGACATGTCTGATTTGACTTCTGAGCCAGTCTTGGCTTTTCAGAGAAAGTTTGTTAAATAATTTTAGATAATAAAATGGAAGCATTAGTTGATTATTTTCTGGAATCTTCCTATTTTTGTTTTAATACCTTTTAAGAAGATACTCTGATTATTAATAATAAACTTGTTATTTTCCGGAAAAAATATAATTTTCCGGAAAGAATATAATTTTCCGGAAAAAATATAATTTTCCGGAATAATATAACTTCCGGAAAAAATATAATTTTCCGGAATGATATAACTTCCGGAAAATAAACTTTTACCGGGCAATAAACTTTTTCCGGAAAGTATTATATTTATTCTGATTATTTACTGCTATCAAAACTTACCGGAAAACTTATTTATTTATTTACCGGAAACTTAATATTCTAAATTTTAAACCTTTTCCGGAAAAATATATTCTGGTTTTTAAAACTTTATTTTTTCAGATATTACCTTCCCCTCGTATTCATTTTCTGTTTTCTTCTCCCTACAGCAACAGCTGTCTTTTTATGGGGTGAATCCGTTTGGATTGCCTTTTGCACAGCAGCATTGTTTCGTTATTGCTTGAATTTGCATGCAACTTGGTTTATTAACTCGGCGGCACATACGTAATTTTTTGAATAAAAAATATTCTTTCGACATTTCCTTCAGTTTTGGCTACAAACCTTATGATGTCGCTATCAAAGCTACCGAGTCAATGTTGACCACTTTGACTGCTTGGGGCGAGGGAGGACACAATTATGTAAGATAAAGGACCTCCTAAGCTCTCTTATTTCTTTGATTTTCAGCATCACACATTCCCCCAAGACTACCGTACCTCTGAGATGCTCGGTGTCTTCAACTTTAGTCGACTTTTTATCGACTTTTTTGCTAAAATCGGATGGGCCTACGATCTTAAAACTGTGGATGAAAAGACAATTCAACGACAAATGGGCCGACAACTTGAAAGGCTGAAAGAGGAGGAGAAGAAAAATAGTAGAGCAGCCTAAAGGAATTCAGAAAATTTTTATTTTGTTTTAGTCAGAATTGTCATTTCCATTGCTAATATGTAAGAAAATATGGTATTTAAAAAATTCATTTTAAAGTAATTTTAAAGAAACTATTAATAAGAATTTCCGGAAAAGATTTTTTAATGAATCAGAACTTCTGGAGATTTTAATATTTTATAATTCTTTCCGGAATTCACATAATTTCCGGAATCCGGATATTTATATAATCATTTCCGGAATTTATTTTATGTATAATTTCCGGAAAACTATTTAATATTCAGGAACTTATATACATATAACAAACTTTCCGGAAATTGTTTATTCCTAATACCGTATACTTTCCGGAAAGATATTTTATAAATCAAAGTTTTTCCGGAAATATAACCCTTCCGGAATTATATAAATTGAATATAAACAATTTCCGGAAAGTTGGTTATATATAAAAACCTTCCGGAATTATTCAAACTTTTCTCTCCATATCCATTTCTAATTTATAATACATTCCGCTTGTTTCATGAATAATCAAAGTTTGATCACAGTTTTTCGTTTCAATTTAATAATTTAAGAAAATAGTGAATTAATTCTTGCATTAGCTGTTAGTTATCTCATTTAAATTATTTTTATTTATTCTTTCTTCTGATATATCCTCATCCATCGTCCACGGCCTCGGCTCTACCCGAGCAGTAAAATTGAAGAAAGTTGTGCAAATCACTTGACTAACAGCTATTCCAATAAATATCCTATTCCACTCCTCTGCCGTTTTATTAGGTGCTAGTCTGCTTGAAACTTCTGGCAAAACTCTGAATAATTTTCTAAAATTAAATTTATAACCAAGAGAAACTCACAAAACTATTGCGTAACTAACAAAAGTATTCCATGAGAATATGGAAGCAGAAAATTGGCGAATACTCTAAGTAAACGGAAAATATTTTTAATTAAAAATTTAATTACAAGCTGGGCGCATTTTACTGCCCCAATTTGCCATAGGCCTGAAAACGCTGCTACAGCAGTGTAACAAGCTTGAATTGCTATAGTTTGGTCTTTGGGAAGCAAAACTAGTGCGGTGAAAAGTAGAGCCATGAAATACTAAAATATAAAATATATGAATTAAACTTTCCGGAAAAGATTATATAAGTAGAATATTCCTTCCGGAAAATATTTGTTTATTAAAATACATAATATACTTTCCGGGAGACTATAAAATATAACTCTCGCCAAGACATATTTATATATAACTTTCCGGAAAAGTTTATATAAGTAGAAACCTTCCGGAAAAAGTTAGTTTATTATAATAGTATACCTTTCCGTAAGACTATAAAATATAGCTCTCACCAGGACCTATTAAAATATAACTTTCCGGAAAAGTTTTATTTAATAAAATATAACTTCCGGAAAATATTAGAAAAAGAATAAACTTTCCGGAAATTCTTTATTTATAAACATTAAACTTTTTCCGGAAAAAATTTCAATAATTACCTGTGATATACTTGTAAACAATATAACTCTCGTTCTCTCAGAAAGTCGTTTACCAATTTTATCGCTAATAGGCCCAGCCATCATTTTTATTGCTGCAGCAAGTAAAAAGGGAAGGGCTGCAGCAAATCCAGCATTTTTTGGGTGCATTCCTAACGCTTTACTTAAATATTGAGGACCAAGTTGATTGAAAATTTGATTGCCAAAAGTGGCTCCAAGGTTGGAAATTAAAATGCCCCAGACAACAATATCTGTCAACATTCTTAAATAAGGAACATTTCCGCTGTTCTTGTCTGCTTCAAAAATTTGTTTTTTGCCATCTCCGATTAATCGTCTTTCCAATTCGGTTGTTAAACTAGAGAAAATATTTTAGGATGATTTTGAAGTTAACAAAACAAACAAATGTTCATTAGGAGAATCTCGAAAAAATAAGCAAAATAAAATAAAGAAGAAAATTGAAACACTTCCAAATATGTGATAGACTGCTGTCCAACCAAATGTACTCTCACATAATTCACCTGCTATGGGCATAACAAGCAAAGGACCAAACTGATGAGTAAGGGAATAAATTAGTGTATATTTATTAAAGTACAATTTCCGGATTCAAAAATATCTTTCCGGAAAATGTTTATTTCAAAAATATAACTTTCCGGAAAAAGTTTATTCCAAAAATATAACTTTCCGGATAATGTTTATTCCAAAAATATAACTTTCCGGATAATGTTTATTTCAAAAATATAACTTTACGGAAAAGGTTTATTTCAAAAATACATATAATTTTCCGGAAAACGTTCATTTCAAAAATATAACTTTCCGGAAAAAGTTTATTCCAAAAATATAACTTTCCGGATAATGTTTATTTCAAAAATATAACTTTGCGGAAAAGGTTTATTTCAAAAATACATATAATTTTCCGGAAAACGTTCATTTCAAAAATATAATTTTCCGGAAAAAGTTTATACCAAAAATATTTTTCCGGAAAATGTTTATTTCAGAAATATATCTTTCCGGAAAATGTTTATACCAAAAATATAAATTTCCGGAAAATGTTTATTTCAAAAATATAACTTTCCGGAAAATGTTTATTCCAAAGATATTATTTTCCGTAAAATGTTTATTTCAAAAATATGAATCTTTCCGTAAAGCTTATTAAAATAAACAAATATTTCTCATCCTTTATAATAGCATATTTCCGGCAAATAATTTATTTAGTTTCTAAAATAAATTAGTCACCTGAAAATGACAAGAAATAAGGCAGAGAAACATTCCAGATTCGCTTAGAGGTGCCCATTCTTCGCTTATAGTGCCTTTAAATTAAACATAAGAATGCTTTATAAAATTAGAAATTAACTCATTGCAACGTATGAAGTTGCTACACCGAATCCTTGAACAACTCGGACAGCTAATAAAGTCCAAAATCCTAGAGTGCTAGCAAAGGGTACTAAAAGAGTAGCTAATGAACTAAGCATGCCATAAACTGTGACCATCCATCTATTAAAAATTTTATAGTTATTATTTTATTCCGGAAATATAAATTATCCGGAAAGTGTGTTAATTAGCTCAGAACATCTATTTTTATAAAAAAAAAGCTAACCTCTGATATAAATATAAATTTTATATCAGTGTGTCCCTTGACGAATTACTAGGTAAAAATGGGACAAAGTAATGGCAATAGTGAAAAAGTGGAAAAAATGGGACTAGAAGGTCAAAAAGGGGGAAATACCCCTAAGAAGGTGTAAAAGGGGGCCCATAATTAAGCTCGCTATAATATGTTTTCGGAAGGTTGATTATTATAAAAATTTTTTATTAATTTTCTTATATTTGAACATTTTCCGGAAAGCTTATTATTAATAACACCTTTCAAGAATTATTTAACTTAAAAATTATTTCAATAACCGAATGCCCAGTTTTTCTGTTATCCACGTAATGGGTAATGTTCCCAGCAGTGTACCCACAGCAACTACAGACAATAGCCAGTCTTTCTGCCATTTAGTATCTTCTGAATTTAAATGCTCTTTTAGAGGTTCACGTTTCTTTTGGATTTTAGGCAGGCTGGTGACTGACTCCGTATTGTCCTCTTCCATGCAAATCAACTGATTTTTTTATTTAAAAATTTTTTTGAAAAACCGAGAGAATTTTTTACCGTGAAATTAAAAGCTAAAGAGCTACCAACAGTTAAGGAAAGACAAATTGTGGAGAGTGCCAAGATTAAATATCTAACATAATTAAATGTGTAGTATAATCTTTTGTCGTTTTTAAGTGTATTTAATGAGTTTTGCTGGGTTGGAGCAATTTTAGGGGTAGAAAAAGGTAATTGATGAATAGTTGATGGCATTGTTTTATGTATAGTATATGAATGACGTTAGTGAGTAATTCTGTTTCCGGAAAGGTTTAATTAAGAAAAATATTTCCTAGGCTATATTTTACGGGGGAGTTTATATATTCCGGAAAACTATAGATTCCGGAAACTATATTTCCAGAATAGAATACCAACTCTAAAAGATAGTTATATCCCGGAAAAATATTATAGAATCTGAAGACTTCCGGAAAGGTTTAATTCTAAAAATAACCTTTCCGGAAATGTATAACTCTAAAAAAATAATTATATTCCGGAAAAAATAACTCTTAGAAGTAATTTTATTTTTTCCGAAGACTTATTCTTCCGGATAATTTTAATGTTGAAAATAATAATAATTATATTTTCCGGAGGATATATAACTCTAAAAAATAATTAGTTTCCGGAAAAATAGAATCTGAAAACTAATGGACTTCCGAAAAGGGTTTAATTCTAAAAATAACCTTTCCGGTAATGTATAACTCTAAAAATAATTAGTTTCCGGAAGTTTAATTATATACTTTATAAATCGATTCACCTATTCTAAAATTTAAAAAAACTGGAGGGAAATTAAAATATATATATTAAGGTTATAAGGAGTATTTTAGCTATTTAAAAAATGACAAAATTCCTCGGAAAAGGAGGATGACAAATATTTATTTGCTCCTTTAAATTGCAATTTTTGCTACCAGATTATTAGTCATTTTCTGTTTATTTAAAATCATTAAACAAGTATTTTTTGGTTAATTTTGTTGTCAAAAAAATTTTATTTATGAGGTAAATTCTTTAAGTATTTTCTAGGTCAAATTTTTGATTTTAATCAATTTAACTAGAAAAAATGAAAAATGATATTAATCATTAAAAAGAATATCGGATTTCAGTTATTTTTGAAAATTGCGCGAGGTCACTGCGCAATGATGGTCAGTTATTATTAAACGTTCTGCTTAATCGATAAGAACAATTAGTAAGAATAGAAACCGTTCAGAAATAATTATGGATAGATATACTATGGATTTAATTAATCTTTTAAAATATAAAATTCCGGAAGTAAAATTTGAATAGATCCATCCGTCGTATGTAATAAAATGTATATAAATAAAATTTAAGAATTTTCACTTTATGGGAATTAAAAATGACGCGTTTTAGTGATAAAAATATTGTAAAATAATTAAACTTTCCGGAAAAGTATAAGTATAAATATAATTGTATTGATTCCGGAAAACTACAGATATATTTCTGGAGAAAATTATTGTTATATTTATAATTGTTAGAATTTCCGGAAACTAATTAAAATGAGATTTCCGGAAGTTATAAAAAGAAATACTTAAACTTTCCGGAAAGGTATAACTATAAATATAAACAATATAATCTCTTATATTTTTTCTTATACAAAATAAACTTTATATAAACTTTATTTACAAATAAAATAAACTTTCCGGATATATTATAATATTATTAATTATTTTATTTAAAAGGGAAAATTGATTATCTTTCAGGTTTTCTTTTCCCAGTAGTTTTGAAGAATATCAAAATGTGCATCTCTGATTAGTTCATTAACTGATTTTGCGTCGGAGACACGGGCAGTTCGATTGGAGGAAAAAGAGGAAGATAAAGAGCCGTTGACTGTGTTGATATGCAAGTTTTTATTTTGCTTGGTAACGGCTCTTTCCGTTGCCGAAACTTCAATGCCAAAGAGAGAAAGTAGTGAAAGTCGGATGGATTTCTATAAAAAATAATTTTTTAAAAATCAGACAAAAATTTTCAAAAGAATCAGAATTTTAATCAGAAAATTAGCTTACATGTCCCAAAAGTGTGCTCAAAAGTGCCAAGGTTTGAGGGAAAAGAGCCAAAAATTCCTCGAGTGGTCCAAAGTGTTCAACAGAATAATTAACATTAAAGAAGAGAGTTCTGCTTTCCTCATCGTTAAAAGTGTGTAATAAAATTTGAATAAAAGTGGAGGCAGCCAATAGAAAGACAAAAAATAGGCAGAAGCGCAAAGTGCGGCAATTTTCTCTAAGTTGGTAACGACAAGAAATTGAATTTTGAGAAGACTTTTGATTTTGTACGGATAATTTTGAGTTCCAAAAAAGAAGGGAAAATACAGGGATAATTATTGAACTTTGAGGTAATATAATTTGGAGATTGTTAAATATTGTATGTTGAAGTGATGAAATGTTTTGAGGGTTATTTTCTTTGTAAGTAAGTTTAAAACGAACGATGCTGAATAAAAGTGCTGTTATCAACTATAAAATAAGGAAAAATAATTTAAAATTCCGGAAAAAGTATAACTCTAAATAAAATAATAATAAGTAGAATAGAACTTTCCGGAAAACTTTCTGGAAAGTATAACTCTAAACTTTCCGGAAAACTTATAACTCTAAAGTTCCGGAAAACTTCCCGGAAAGTATAACTCTAACGTTTCCGGAAAACTTCTGGAAAGTATAACTCTAAACTTTCCGGAAAACTTTCCGGAAAGTATAACTCTAAATAAATAAAAATAAATAGAATAAAACTTTCCGGAAAACATTGTGGAAGTTATAACTCTAAACTTTCCGGAAAACTTTCTAGAAAGCATAATTTAAAACTTTTAGGACAACTTTCCGGAAAAAATACGTATAACTAAAAATATAATACTAAAAATTAGTATAAAACTTTCCGGAAGAACTATAACCGGAAGAATTATAATAACATTCCTAAGTGTTCATTTTAGTAGATAAATAAACCATTCGGAAAAGAAATCAGTTATATATATTAAACTTTCCGGAAAAATTATAACTCTCAAAAATAGACATGAAATTCACCTGTATTGCCAAAATACCAATTCCAACAAAACGTAAATGCTTATTCTTTTCATAATATTTATAAAACAATGTAGAAATTAGCTTTTCAAGCCCAATAGTAATTGGAAGGGAATTAATGAAAAAGTTGGCAAAAAATGATGGATAATAAACAGCAATTTCCATAAATCTAGGCGGATTCTCGCTAATTACCTAAAAATTGTTTGATAAATTTAAAAAGCCTCAAAAATTTTTTACCATTAAAAGAAGACAAATTCTAGAAGCCAGGCTTAATATAACCGATAAAGGAACGACTGTCAACAAAATACGGGTATTCAGGTGCAAAAGACGTTTGGTTTTGTAGAGTATTATTATTAGCAATAAAATTAGGGGAAGTAAAAATATGGCAAATAAAAATAAGCAAATTGAAGTTGGAATTATTTTTGATGATAATTCGGGAATATTATTAGTTGTGTTGTTATTCATTATTATTTATTAGTTTTTATTAAAGCTTAAAAAATAAATTATTAGTAAAAAATTTCGGAAGGTTTATAAGAAATTATGAATATAATTAATTATTAAAAAAAGAAAAGAAGTTTTCCGGAATTTTATAATTTTCCAGAAAGTTTCCCTTCTTGTGTGTATGTTTACTAAATAAGGTAATATTTTGCCTGATTTATCATATATCATTCAAAATAACAATGAAGCTGAAACCTCTCCTGATCAAAAGTAAAGGGCATTTCATTAATGTCAGAGCTCTTTCGAATGATAAAAAAATCTATAAAATGGAGGGAAAAAATAGGAAGGTATTATCAAAATAGGGGTATTTATTATCTTCCAACGTACATTTTAGCCTAAATACTTTCCCGTATGGTTTATAAAATTATTTGATATTCTGACTTATTTAATAGACAATATATTTAATTAAAATTGAGTTTATATAATTATAATTTTAAACTTTATTATATCATTCGACACGTTTGACGTATGTAATATGTACATAATAAATTGTAGTATTATATCTAATGATATTTAATTTGCAAATTTAAAAATTTAAAAAATTATAAGCCAAATTCAACTTTAATAATGAATTATCTGCAGTAGGAGTTACACGCAAAAATACAATTAAAAATGAAATAGATATTTATAATAATTATTTTAATTAAAAGAATTATGAAAATAAAAGAAATTAAACAAAGAAATAATTATTGGAATTTAATTAAAAATAAATTTTTAATATTTTATAATAAAAAACAATAGGGAGAATATTCTAAAAATAGAAAATATAATCAGAAATGAATAAACAAAGAGAAAATAAATTGAAATAAACAGAATAAGAATTATATTAAAATCAGAATTAAAAAATAGTCAAATATAGAAGATGAATATAATAAAGTTTTCCGGAAAGTTTAATAAATATAATTATTCTGATTTATTTAGTAGAACTATAATTAAATAGACCTGAATAAAAAATCAGAATTTATAAATCAGAATTTACAAACCAGAATTTAAAATCAGAATTTAAAAATCAGAATTTAGAAACCAGAATTTAATAAACAGAATAAAAAAATCAGAATTTAAAAGCAGAATTTAAAATTAGAATTTAAAAACCAGAATAATCAGTATAAACTTTTCCGGAAAGTTTTATTTTTAATTTTCTGATTTTTAAATTCTGATTTCTATATTCATTGTTTATTTATGTATAATTAGATTTTCTAAGAGAATTAATTTAAATAGACAAATAAAGCTCTAATGACGCAAATGCTTTTAATATTTAAAAGAAAAGGTGTGTTTAATAAAAAAATTTCCTTTTGTCCCCAATCTCACGCATTAAAAATAAAAGAAAGGCCCAAATATGGTTTAATATCTCAGGAAAATAAATTGAATTATTTATTTGTTGGAAATGGCAGGTGACTTGGTTATCGTCATTCTTTTATAAATACGTTTTGGTTGGAATTATTTTTAAAAATAAATAAATTCAATTTTAAGCTAAAAATAATAATGGAAACAATATGAGTGTTAAAACATGAATCAAAATAAACATCATTAGAAATTAAAAACCAAAATTTAATTTTTAAATCTTGAAACTTTTAAATAATAAAAACTAATAAACGTTGCCGAATAGAAAATGGCAAAAATGGCCATCTGAATCAGAGGTGCACAAAAATTTTAGTTTCGTTTCGTATTTTGTAGATTTTCGTGGATTTTTGATGAATTTCGTTTCGTTTCGTGTTTCGTTTGAAAATATTTTTTCGTTTCTTGTTTCCCATAATCCATACAACCACATATGTAATCATCGGTATCTACCAAATTTTTCATATCTTGATACTTCGAAATCAAATTATATCCCAATTAATCCTTCCAAATCCCCTTTAATTCCTCGGTTCTATTGAACATTTTAACTTAATCGAAATGCGATCGGTAAAGTTTTTAAGATTTTAAAACGTATTGTGGCACCTGAAGTTAAACTTGAAGTCAAACATATGAGTCAGAATTTTATAATAACTCGTTAAAGTGGCACCTACCCTCGTTTACAAAATAAAAAAATATTTTAAATATTTAATTTTTTTACTTAAAATGTAAAAATAGTTTATATGCATAACCGTACAAATTATAAAAATTTTAATCTCTTTTTAATTCACTCCTCTATCATCAATTTCAATATTATAACGCAACTGTTTAGCCGAGAACCAAGAATAATAATTGTCAAATTCGATTATATCTGTGGAAAAAAGTGTGTAAAAATAATTTTTGAAGGCTTAAAAAATTTAAGTGCCCTTATATTTTTTCTAGGATTGTTTTTATGTCTTTGGGATGCTCCAAAGACATAGGATTAACCTTAAATTTTCTTATATTATCCTTAATTCCAGACTTGGTAACGGACACAAATTCTGATATTTCCGGATAATAACGGCGGATACAGGCGGATATCCGCAGGCATTTTGAAATTATCTGTATCCATGTCCGTATCGATTACCATGTTTGCTTAATTCTGTTCTTAGATTGTCCTTATATTTTCATATATTTTCTTAAATGTCTTTATATTTTCATAGATTTAGGATTCCCTTAAATGTCCTACTTTCTTAGATTGTTCCTAGATTGCTGAAAAATGCCCTTAGACTTTTAGGTTGCCCTTAGTTCTGTTCTTATGTCTCCATGTCCTTATATTATCATTGTTATATTTTTCCTTTAAAAAATTATCCCCTACATCTTCCAGTCTGTTCACAAAGCATAGATCCAGAAATAGGAACTAACGAGCATTCCAAGCGAATATACCTACAAAAAGCGATTAAAGAAGAATAATTTTTTAAATTACGGGTAAACACATTCCATTTCAGCCAAATTATTTGCTGTCCCAGAAGAATCAAAATAAACGGCAAATCCAATATCCTCTTCTTCTGTCATATATTGCCAACTTTAAATTGGACATTTTAGAAAGAAAATTTTCCTTGTATTTTGTCACTTTAAAAAAATTCCCTCTGACCTTAGTAATTTAAATTTAGGGATATCCAGTTAAATGTGCTTATATGCATATTTTTCTTAGAATTTTTATTTTCGTCTTGGAATTCTTATATTTATAAATAGATATGTAAAATCTTATATATACATATGTGTCCTTAATTTTTTATAAGGTAAAACCGATACATATCGAATAGAGCCCGGATTAGATATGTCGGCCCCTCTGTCCGGACTCTAATATCTAAGTAAGAGGGGAGGATACGGATATCCGAAGCTTTCCTAGATCCTCTTGCAATTCCCGATTTCCGAGAAGACCGGGAATTGATTTTTTGTCGGCTCGTTCTCTTATACATATGCCTCTTTATGATACTGTAATTTGTCTATCTCCGCAGGCAATTTAAAATTGGCCTAAAGCTGCCGATATTAATGTAAACTTTCCCCCAAAATTTTATTTAAACCCATGCCCTATCGCCTTAAAGTCTTTTTTCTCTATTTAGGTTTCAATTTTCCAATATTTGTGACCTCTAATCATTCACTACTCAAAAAACGTAAATCTTGACTTGAGGGCATAAATCACCTCAAAATTTATTTTTTATTTTGACCTTGTTTTTTTTCTCTTATCCACCTTCAAAAACACCCCCAACTACTCACCTTATTCTAGTATTAGCCTTCACTCTCAACTCAATTAGATGTTTATCACCTGCATACACTGTAGTTAGTTGATCGTAATCAGTCATTACTGTTGACTGGTCAACATAATAGGAGTCAGGGACGGGCCCAAGGCCGTAACGAACTTTTGAGGGGCATCTGTTTAAAAATTGAGAGAAAATTAAAAAAAAATCAGAAAAATATTAAGCTACTTTGGATCTCCATTCTCGCACATTCTGCCTCCCCAATGGACTGGCCAAGCATCGAGATCCTTTAAAATAAATTTTAGGGTAGTTCTAATGGTAATTCGAATGGTAATTCTGATTTTTCAATTTAAAGGATTTAATGTTATGAATGTCAACAATCAAAATTCTGAAAATAATTCTGATTTTAAAATCAGAAAATTAGAATTATAGCATGACAAGAATACTATAATTCTGATAAAACATAATCGTAAAAGTAATTCTGATTTCATAAGGAAAAATTCTGATTTCGTAAGGAAAAATTCTGATTCGATTCAGAAATAGCAAATCAGAATTCTGAAAATAATTTTGATCACAAAATCAGAGTTCTTAAAATGTTCCGTTTTTATAAGGAAGAATTCTGATTTAATTCAGAATAAATAGATCAGAATTCTGATAGTATTTCTGATTTTAAAAGATAATTCTGATAAAAATTCTGATTTTTATAAATAATACTGAGTTATCAGAATGATAGTGTATAATATGTATACCTAATATTAATAACTCCAAAATCAGAATAATGATTGTGAATTTTAAGGAAAAGTTCTGATTTAATTTTGAAATAAACGGAACAGAATTTTGATAATAATTCTGATTTTCAAACCAAAATTCTGATTTTAAAATTTCCATAATATTTCTTTAATCCCATTCTCTCCTCAACTAACCACATATTCACTCAACGCCATTTTCCAATCCTCCTCTGACGGGATTTCAATTAATTTTTGGGTTGCTTCAGAGAGGAAAGGTGTCATTGAATTAAAAGCAATTCTGGCCATTTCTGGTGCTCTAATAATTAAAATTTTTCTCAAAACAAGTGGATAGTGTTCTTGAAATAGCATAATTAAGGTTGTGAAGGAAGAAGCAAATTGTTTGGATGAATAATGGGCAGATGTTATGTGGTCTAAATCGAAGACGAGCATCTGTAATGTTTTAATTAAATCAGAATATTTTTCAGAATTTAAGAGAAAATCAGAATAAGCTAATTCTGATTTTGGAAAATAAATTCTGTAGTTATAGTTTATTTTAAATCAGAAAAGAACTTAAATAAATTCTGATATGTAAAAATCAGAATAAATTTCAGAAATTCTGATTTCCAAAGAAATCAGAGCAATTCTGGTTCTCATAAATTCTGATTTATTCTGATTTCAGAAATTCTGAATTAAAAAACAGAATTGTTCTGATTCAGAATTTTGGTTTTATCAGAACACAATAATTCTGATTTTCACAGTCTGATAGAAAATCAGAATAATTCTGATTATCAAAAATTATGATTTCTTCAAATCATAAATTATTTTCTGATTTTACCATCTGCTCAAAAGCAAGTCCAGATTCCTGAGCCCGTTGTCTACACAAAGCTATACCCTTTTCTATGGCAGCAAGTGAAAATTTAATGTAATCTTTTGATTGAACTGATCGGAGCATCCCCTCAACATCCATATTGCCCAGAAGGGACATTAAAATTGGGTTGCCAGATCTATCTCCCAGAAATCCATATCCACAGTATTTCTCGAGGATCTAAACTTGAAATTTTTTTAACCCTTCAAAAAATTCAATAGAAGCTAATAGACTCATACAGACTGTGATGTTCACAAAAAACTTCAATAATGGGACCATAATGGTCAGAAACACAAATGACTCTTAAATAGGTCTCAAATAGGGCATGTTATATGCAAAAACTCAACGAATGTTCGGACTCAGATAGGGTCCATACTCGAAGAAATGTGACTTCTATTAGGGTTGTTCCCCAACCTCGAAAGTCGGGGAGAGATTTTTTGAAGATTCCACGCCCCCCCCCCCTCCTAGTGAAAAAAGAATTTTCCCATCCCCTCCCCCGTGGTGCTGCCTCCGAAAAGTTAATTCTGAAAATTCTGGTTTCATGAAAATCAGAATCTTTCTGATTTTTCTTATTTTCAGTGAGTTCTAAAGACCCTTAATATTTACCCAATTGATCTTCAGAAAGGTGACCTTATGGATCATCAATTAATTTTTTCTTCTCTCCCCTATCATTTAACTTTTTATCTCAGAGCAAAAGTCGTTTGATAAATTAAGAATTTTTTTTACTATTTCCCTTTAATGGCCACAAAATAAATAAACTTTTTCCTTTCAATTTTAAACCTGTTTGTGGACACAAAATAATAACGCGCATAAACCGTTAAATTTAATTAATTAAAATAAGTGATATAGTGTAAAGGTGAGTCAGCCTAATTGAAACAAGTAAACAATATAAAGAATGTTTCTAGTTGTTTGGTAACTTTTTGATGGAAACTTTGAGGTCTTTGACATTTTGAAAAAAAATTTTGAGGTTGGGTAAAATTGAACTTCGTACCCCCCCCCCCCTTCTCCTTCTTTTTTTCCTCCAGAAAGTGGAAAAATGGCCAATCTTAAACCGTGTTACCAACTTTGCTCTGTGACAATAAGTACCCAGTTCTGTTATTTAGGACCTATTACCGTACATTCTGAATATTTTTTGGATTTTAACGCCTATAAGGATTTTTTGATTAAACCATCCCAATTTTCCAAAAATAAAAAAATAGCCCCACCTCGGGTGCCGTCCAATTTGCAATTTTGTCAAGTCCCCAAGCCTTTCGAAACACTAGATCTTTTTTCACTCCCTTAAATTAATTTAAATTATTTTTTTACATTTCCTCAACACTCAAGCCTTCCTATATTATACCCTCTTGGGGCGGAAAATCGTACCTTATAATAAGGGCTGTGAGCCAAAATTATCGTGTAGCGCATCAAACACCACCCTGCTTATAATAAGGGGTACCTTTAAACGGGGATTTTGATTGGAGGAGGTTGCAAAGTTAATTGTATCTTAAATTGAGGTTTATCTAATATTGAGGGTATCTTATAATGAGGTTTTGACCAAGGCTGTTTCGATTTTCGAGTTTTTTTTCTTTCGACTTTCCAATTTACTTTGAAACAGCTTTTATCTTGTCTGTATCAGGGCTGTGCGCCGAAATTTTCGCGTGGCGTGCCAAACGCCAATTTTTCAAATTTTAAAAACACGCCAAACGCAAAACGCCAAAAATCGGCCAAAAATGGACACCAAAACGTCATGACGCACAGCCCTGGTCTGTATAGAAAAAACAATAAAAACCAACATCGGCAGTTTCATCAAAACGTCCCTCTTTTGAACGTAGCCATCTCAACAAATAGCCATCATCCACATCTCTATTTGTGTGTTTAGCTAATTGGGGGGCTAATATTTTCCTCAAATCATTTAATTGACAAATTTCGACTTCGTTTGGAAGTCGGCACAATTCCTCCTCTGATTTTCGTTTTTTGGGAGAAATGCTTAAATTTAATATTTTTTCTTCTTGTTGTTGAGAACCACATTCTGAAGGTGGTTTTTGTTCTGCTAAAATACTGGCTGAATGAATTTTGCTTTTAGGCATTTTTTGGTAGTGGAAGTAATTATTTAATTATTAAATCTGAAGAAAAATCAGAATTAAATTGGTATATAAAATCAGAACAAATAAATTATTTTAAAAATCAGAACAAATAAATTTTAAAAATCAGAACAAATAAATTTTAAAAATCAGAACAGAATAAACTTTAAAAAATCAGAACAAATACGTCTTAAAATCAGAATTAAAAACAGAATATAAATTAAAATCAGAGTTTTTTTGAAAAATCAGAATTTCTATATCAGTATATTATAGGAAATCAGAATTAAACTGTTACAACTTTATAAAATAATCAGAATCAAAATCAGAATTTTGAAACATCAGAATATTTAACGCTAGGTTTAAAAAGTCAGAATTATTCAGAATTTAGAAAGCAGAATATAATATCAGAATTTAATAAAAAATCAGAATTATAAAAAATCAGAATTAAAAATCAGAAATATAAAAATAATAAAATCAGAAAAAATAGAAATAAATAAAACCAAATGAAATCAGAATTTCACATTTATTTCAGAATTAATTTAATATTTCTTCGTTAAAATAGGATTTATTAAAGGTAGGAATAATAAATAAAAATCTAAAAATATTTTAAATAAATGCGAGAAAAGTTAAACAAATCAGAACATTAAAAATAAATAAAAAGGTCTTTCAAACAAACATACACTGCCTGCACCTTTCCGTATTTAACACACTCACCTCCCCCTATTTTTTCGTTGCTCTCCCCGTCACACATCGGTCACCGAATAAAAACGGCAGGAAAGGATAAAAGTAGTAAATAAAAACTAAACCCAGAAGATCGAGAATAAACGATCAATTAAAGGTAAACGTGAGAGAAATCAGAAATAAAAAATCAGAACAAATCAGAAAATAAAATGAAAGCAGAAGTAAAATCAGAAGAGATCAGAACTAAAAATCAGAATTTTAATATACAGAAATCAGAATAACCAATGTCCAAGAAGCAAAAAATATGCTTGATAAACATGCTTAAGAAGATGTTATTGAAGCATGCTAATTTTTAAAAATATGTTTTTAGAATGCTTCAGAAAAATATTCCAGAAGCTTGATACTAGAAACATGCGTTTCATTACTGATTTCAGAAGCATGCTTCATATTAGCAACTAAAACTTGATATTAGAATCAAGTTAAAATAAATAAAAATCAGAATAAAATAATAATAAAATCAGAATCTTTTTCAGAATTTCTGAAATTTTTCAGAACTTTCTGACAAAAATCAGAATCTTTTCAGAATTTCCAAAAATCAGAATAAATCAGAAAATCCTAATTAAATCAGAATTTGTGTAGATTAGAATTTCTGTTATATGAAGCATGCTTCTGCTTGCTTCAGAAAAATTGGAAGCATGCTTCAAAATCCAGATTTTTCATGCTTCACAAATTCAGAAGCATGCTTCAGATTTTATAAACCAAATGATTCCATATCTTTTTGGGTGTTTATCTTCTGGAATAAAAATAAATATTTTTATTTATTAGTATCAGTCAATGTTCTCTCTCTTGGGGAGAGCCGCCGTTGATGTGTGAGTGTGTAAAGTCACCGATGCAAAAAAGGAAAATAATAAAAAAAGGGGGGGGGGATACATTAAATATTGTTTTGTTATAAATTAATTTATTGACAATGCACTTTATTTTAATTTAAAAAGTAGAGTGGCATTGCGCAAAAAATATTAATGCGGAACTAAATGATAATAACTGAAAGTTCTTTGGGTAAAGGTAAAAAGGTAAACGAAGGAAGAATAATAAACCGGAATATTAAAATCAGAATTTAAACAAATATAAATAGAAAATTAAAATCAGAATTAAAGTTTAATTTTAGATCAGAATTTTAAAAATCAGAATTTATAAATCAGAATTAAAATCAGAATTTAAACAAATATAAAAAGAAAAATAAAATCAGAATCAAAGTTTATTTTAGGTCAGAATTTAAAAAATCAGAATTTATAAATCAGAATTAAAATCAGAATTTTAAAAATCAGAATTTAATTCAGAATTAAAATCAGATTTTAAAAATCAGAAGTTTAAAAATCGGAATTTTAAAAACCAGTATTTATAAATTGTAAATCAGAATTATAAAATCAGAATTTTTAAATAAGAATTAAAATCAGAATAAATATCAGAATTTAAAAACCAGAATTAAAAATCAGAATTTATAAAGCTGAATTTATAAAATCATTTGTAAAATCAGAATCTTACAAATCAGAATTTGAATCAGAATTTTTAATTGAGAATTAAAATCAGAATAAATGATGTCAGAATTAAAAATCAGAATTTCAACCTGAATTAATTGTAACTTATAATTGTAATACTATACTTAACAAAATTAAATTACCAATTTAATTCAAAAATAAATTACCAAATATAGAGTTAAAGTTAGTCACGTTTTATTCCCTTTTATAGAGTAACAAATTAATAAACTTTGCCCCTCTAAGCTGACTAATTTTTTAAAATAAATTATATTTTCTTTGATTAATTTGTGGGGGGATCACCTGCTTTTAGTAAATTGTTATTAATGTAAAATGACTAATAAATTTATTTTTTAGAGTAAAAAAGAAGCGTTGTGGAATTGGTTGATTGGGACATTAAAAAATTAAATGAGAGAAGGGAAGAATTAGGCGAGCGCGAAAAAAGCTGACTGAGAATGGATGTGAAATGGAAAGAAATGCGCAGAAAAAAATAATTGGGAAAGGCCATTTAGTATTAAAAAATATAAGGGACAAAAGATCAACTAAAATTTTTTGAAATACATTTTTGGGGGATTCTTGTGGTGATGTGTGACCTTCTGGATTTTTTAAATTTAAATTCTGATTTCTGATTTAACGATTTTTGTTTTTCTGATTTGTGTGATTTAAAATTCTGATATTCTGGTATTAAAATTCTGATATTTAATTTTGATATTCTGGATTTGAATTCTGACATTCTGATTTAATATTCTGATTCTGGTTTTTTGCCTCTAATTCTGATATTCTGACTATGATTTTTAATTCTGATTTTTCTTGATTTTTTATTCTGATATGATTTTAAGTTTAATTCTGATGTTCTGATTATATCTTCTGATTTTTTATTCTGATTTCTTGTTCCATATTCTGATTTTTGTCCATCTCAGCTTGATTATCTATTTGTTGATATTCTGGGTTATTTAAATTAAAATTGGTCTTCTGGGTGGTATTCACCTATAAATAGGGTAGCTCG